ATTTTTGGAGAGGTTTTTGCTATAGGCCGCATGTGCTCGACAAAGACAGAGAGAAAGCGAGAAATCACCCCTGAGGGGTGATGGCCACGCTGTAATCCCTTCTCCTCCATTCTCCTCTCAGGATCTTGGGCACGCAAGCACATGTACCTGGCGTGAGTTTAAGCCACTGAGTCCAGGACACAAACTGCAGTTGGCTACGTGGGAATCCAGTGACATAGCCATTATGCCAATTACTGGTCCCCTCTTTTATTTTTAAAAGATTACTAGTGTGAGTGGAAAAATAATCTTATCTGGCATTTTGGCATTAAGAATGATTTTTTTCTTTTTTAGCATTTTATGTATGGTTTATTTATTTATGGTTTTATACTATAAGGTCCTGCACATGTCAGAAAGACAGAGACAGAGAAATAACTCCCTGGTAGGGATGGCCATGCAGCAGTCGCTTCTCCTTTGTTCTCTCAGATTTTGGGCATGCATGCGCATGTGCCAAACGTGTGTGAGAGTATGAAGTATTTTTAAAGGAAGAACAAGATTTTTATACACGTACAAACTTGAAAAGTTTAGGAAAACTTCACTGAGAACATGTTAGGTAGAAAGATATGTGAATTAATTTTCTTTTGAAGCAAGGAGTATTAGAGCCTTTTCAGGTTTTTAAATGTAAGACAGTGAGGTGGTGTGATAGAGACAATGCAGACAATGGCAAAGTGTTGAGCATTTTATTCAGGGAGGGTATTGGGTTTGATAAAGCTTTTGTTCACTTTTTCTAGTTTCTATTGCCGTGAAACCAAACACATGCTCCTGTCTAGCTTTTAGCCTGTCTTAACTATAGTTTTTTCCTGAATAATCACTTTGCTCTTTTATTAAATCTGCTTTCTTACCACAACTCTTTTCTAGACAAGCTACTGCGAGGTCTTGAGGATGGTTACCAAGTCCTTATGCATGAAATTCAGTAGCACCTGACATTTAAAAATGGCTGTTAGGAAGCACTTACTACTAACATGTCCATTATCTAGAAAAATGCAGGGAATAATTTTAAATGTGTGTGGAAAAATGGAAAGGAGTACACAGCTCTTGAGTTTATGCATAGAAACTTTGTCCTCAATCCATTAATAAGCATCTATTTTTGATTTCCTGAGTTTGGAGAAGTTAGGATTTAGAAAATTACAACTCTCTAAGAATAAAAGAAAAGGAGCCACATACTCTGTCTTCTAGGCCTTTGATATGTTCGGAATATTTTGTCCTAATATTTGGACTTTGGATGACTGACTTTTCATCACTTAAGTCTTCGCCTAGACTTTTCTCCTAGGAATTCTTTCCTCTAGTCTTCCCCAGTACTAGGTGCTCATGTTATCCTCTGTGCTTATCCACACTGAGTTATAATTGCTTACTCTATTTTGTCTAAACAGTGTTTGTTGTTTTTGAAATATGGTGCATGCACTTGCCAGAGTGACAGTGAGAGGGAAATGAGAGGTCACGACGCCCTGGGAGGATGGCCACACTGCAGTCCGTACTCCCAGATTTTGGGCACTCATGCACCTGACATGATTTTCAAGCCACTAGGTCTGGGATTTGAACTGCAGTCAGCCATGTGGGAGTCCAGCATCTTAGCCACCATGTCACCTGCTGGCCCCTAGACCAGTGTTTTTCAGCCAGGGCTTCCCAGGGACTTTCGGTAATTTGATTTTCACATTTGAAGGGTGGCGCTACTGGCATCTAATGAGAAGAGATTAGCACTGCTACTAAACAACCTACAGTATGCAGAACACCAGAATTAGCTTCAGAAGTTAATATTATTGTACTTTTTTCTTTTTAATTGCCAGAAGGCACATGCGCTCACCAGAGAGAAAGGGAGAAAATGAGAGAGAAAAGCACCCCCCCAGTGGGGCATGGTCATGCTACAATCCTTTCTCCCCATTCCTCTATTCTGTCAGGATTTGGGGCCCATATGCCTATGGGTCCAGCATATTTTTCATGTTCCTTCTTTTCATGGTAATATATATTTTCAGAAATGGCTATTATCCATTTAATCTTTTTATTTCCACTCACAGTGGATCAGAGATCTAAATGTAAATCTCAAACTATGAAATAAATATTAATGGAAAATGGAAAATAAATATATTCTGCATTACATCCATTTTTATATAAATTGAAAAGTACAGTGTGGGGCTGGCCCATAGTACAGCAGTTAAATGTTATGTGCAGAGTCAGCTCCCATGTGGCTGACCACAGTCGGAGTCTCAGCCCCAGCAACTAGTTCTAACTAACTTTACTTTTGTTATAAATGAGGTGTTATAAATCAAAAGTTCAAACCATTTTTTTTATAGTTGTAGCAGAGTTTCACTTATTTTGTGCATGCTACATATCTTGTCATTCATTAAGCGTGTACTCAGTGCTTCCTGTGAGTCTGTTGTTAGGTGTTTGGGACACAGCCAGGGAAGGGCAAGTGATGTAACCCCACACAGACAGCATATTTGTGTATCTACAAAGTACTGTGTAAGACCAAGGAAAAGGAGATATCCAAGCTGTGTCAAGTTTACCAAGCTAAGACTAAGGGGTGGGTTTTTCAGGTGGAAAAAATAGTTTCTTTCAAAGTAAAGCGATGTTTTTAAAAGAGCATGGTATTTGTGAGCCACTGTGTTTGGTAATAGTTTTCAGGGCTTAGGGAATAGAGAGTGTTCAAAGATAATTTTTAGGCAAAAGTGAAACCATGACTTTCACACAGATAATAGAAATGAATATGTGGACCAGCCTATACCACGTCAGTTTGGCACTTTGCTTGCAGAGGAAGCCAGATCCCACATGACTGATCAGGGTTTGAATTCTGGCCCTATCAGCTTGGAAAATAAGCATGTCTCTAGTGCATGCATGGGCTTACTTGCCCAGGATTCTGATGGGATAGAGTATTGAAGGAAGAGGATTGTGGCGTGAGCAGGCTCTGTTAGGAATTGTTTTCTCTCCCTGCCATCATACCCACCTTCTCTTGGGTATCTGTGCACTTGCACTCTCTAGTATTGAGGAAAAACAAAAATTTGAATTAACGTGTTAAGGATTTTGTTAAACTCTTTTAAACAACTGATACAAGTGAAAATTTGAATTTTACGGAGTAGTGGAATACTGAAATAAGTTGTAAATGGAGGGCCAGCTGCTGGGTGCATGCTGCTGAGACATTGTACTCCATCGACTACAATCACATGGGTAATGTTTGGACATAATGCCTTTTGAGATGATGTGGGATACCAGGGTGGAAATGTCCAATATGCAATTAGAAATTGAAAGTTTGGAACTAAAAAGAAAGATTGTGGGGTAAGGATTTTAGTCTGGGAATCATCAGTTACATTTGGTATTTATAAGAATAAGTAACTTCATCCAGGAAGAACTTAACATGGAGAACAGGAACCGTGGCAAACCTCTTTTATTTGCATGATCCTAAAGAACAATTACGGTGTGTGTCTTCAGAACATTACTGTAATAAAGTGGTCTTTCAATTTTTTTTTTTTTTTGAGAGGTTTTTGCTATAGGGTGCGTGCGCTCCCCAGACAGAAAGCAAGAAATCACCCCCCAGGGGAGATGACCACACCGCAATCCCTTCTCCTCCATTCTCCTCTCAGGATCTTGGGCATGCATGCACACACGCCCGGCATGAGTTTAGGCCACCGGGTCTGGGACTCATACTGCCATCTACTACATGGGAGTCCAGTGACATAGCCATTACACTAACTGCTGACCTCTCAATTTTTAATAATGATACCTACTCAGCTTTTTAAAAAACTTGATTGATTTGTTTATTTCATGAGTGTGAGAGAGACACAGAAAGTAAAGCAGATACCCTCAACAGTCTCATATCATGTCCCCTGTCCCCAACTTTTCCCAGCCAGGATCATGCACTTAGGTGCATACCTAACATACGTAGGTCAGGCTAGAAACTTGAGCCCTGATCTTCCAGATGGGTCCCAGCATCGCAGAGCTCTGCACTACCGCTGTACCACTGCGGCTGCGCCAACACCTGTTGAGCTGTAATTTGCTTTTTCATTGCATCTTAAACAATATTTATTCTTACTTCATAGTCTACTCGTAGACTAGCAAGAGAACTTTGAATCCCAAGTTCTTAATCACTTCTCACTTCTGAACTTTCTTGTTTTAGAGTTTGGATTTTAAGTTAAGAGATACAGAGAATGAGAAAGAGGAGCTGACAACAATCTAAATTCTTTAGATTTCTTTAAAGCATTGTGGATTTTTTTGTAGTCACACCTCAGTACCACATGGGGTGGGGTCTGAGGACTGCTGCTCTGCTTTGCTGCCCTGGCTTATCAAGTAGTTGAGTTTGGGTTGATTTCTACTGTTCAGTAATTGAGGAGAAGTGAAGCTTCCAGTATTAGTTTTTGTTTTGTTTCACATTCTCACGATTGAGGTAGCATTTCTGGGGCCAGATGGTAGCAGAACAGTAAAATACAACACTGTGAAGTATCTGACCCACATTGGAGGGGCTGGGTTCACATCTGGAGGCCTTCCTACACAAACTGGACTCCTGCATGCCCATGATACAGGGCACCAGAGCCCTGTTGGAGCTTCTGCCTGTCTGTCTTTTTCTCTTGGTCATGCGTGTGGAAGAAGAGAACAAGAAGCAAAAAAAAAAAAAAAAAAAAAATCTTAGCATTTCCTCTGTTTTTTTGAGAGAGAGAATAGATTGATCCTATTGTATCCCATTCTTGGTTCAAAGTACATTTAGAGGTAATTTACCCTTCTATCACCACTACCACCATCATGTAGGTAGGAAATACAATTTTAGGCTATTAAATTCGCTTATCTTGATTTTTTTTTTTTTTTAAAGAAAAAGTGTATGTATAGACATTTACTGTAAATTACAAAATCTATTTAGTGGACTTTTTTTTACTAGAATTTGGAGGTGCTTTTGAAACTGGCATTTTTCTTTTTATTTTAATAATGTTTGTGGTTTAAAATTCAGAGAACATTGAACATCTTGCTTTTTTTTTTCTTTTTAGATCATCCAATTATGATGGGGTTTGAGCCCCTTGTTAACCAGAGGCTACTTCCACCCACTTTCCCTCGATATGCAAAAATAATTAAAAGGGAAGAAATGGTGAACTATTTTGCAAGATTAATAGATAGGATAAAAACTGTCTGTGAGGTTGTGAATTTAACAAATTTACATTGTATTCTGGTAAGTACAAATCTCTATTCTGAAATATAGCTTTGGTTTAATAACAGAAGTTTCATCACTTTTTAGATACTGGTTGTCGCAATGGTAAACATTACTAATTACGTGTTTTTTGTGGTAAAGGATTAAGTATACAGCGCGCACACACACACACACACACACACACACACACACACACACATACTGTTTAATCCTCATAAAGATTTTATGTCACCCATTTTAGAGATTAAGACATTAAAGTTTAAAGAAATTGTAACAGTTTATCTAAGTCTTAAGAATGGGATTTGAATCATGGATTCTATCTTCAAAACCTTCATTTAACACACATTTGTAAGTATATGCATAATTATTCTTACATACAGAAGTAGAATGGTAACCTGCTTTTTTGAAATCATTAATCTCTGTATCGTGAACATCTTTTTTTTTGGAGAGGTTTTCGCTACAGGGCTCATGCACTTGCCAGACAGACAGAGAGAGACATAGAGACAGAAGGCAAGAAATCACCCCCCCAGAGGGGATGGTCACACCACAATCCCTTCTCCTCCATTCTCCTCTCAGGATCTTGGGCATGCACGCACACGCGCCTGGCGTGAGTTTTAAGCCACCGGGTCCTGGACGCAAACCACGGTCGACTACATGGGAGTCCAGCGACATAGCCATTACGCTAACTGCTGGTTCCCGTAACATCTTTTTTTCATCTTAACACATACACGTCCGTTATTTTAATAGCTCTGTGGCATCCCACTGTAAGTGCATAAACAAAAATGAACTCATTTGAAGTTGCACCTTTACACCATTTGCTTCCTTCCCCCTTAAGATAAATTCTTAACAAAATGAAGCTGCTGGATGAAAGAACATGTGTATTTTTAAGCTAGGGTACTTTGAGTTAATCTTTTTTTAATGGGTTAAGATATTAAAAAACAAGGTTTACTTGGGTACTATTAAAACATTTTGGAATGGACTTTATTAATTGATAAGGATATAGTGACATAAGGCTAGTAGGAAAGTGGAAAATATGCAAAAAAAATGCCATTGTTCTTAGGACGTAAGTATGCTTACCTGTTGCATAACTGCATATAAGCTTTGACTGTTACCTTGCACACTCAGATACATAACTTCTAGCCCCATGTCATTTTGGCTGTGGTTTTTTCCTTTTGGGTTGCAGATTGTCACTATACTTGTGTTCCTTTGGATCACAGAGTAGTTGGGTTATTTTTCTGGCAGTTAGCAGTAGTCGCTGGGCTATATTTGGTAGTCAGTAAAGAATTGTGCTTTTATTAATGCTCTTTCTTATAATATTTTTATCTTCCCTTCCAGTACACCTCTTTCATTAAAGACCAGCTTGATTTTTTGCTATGCCATAAAAGTTTAATTATGCCTTTAATACATTCTGTTGTATTTGCTTTTTAGTAGTTTGCTCTTATTTTGTTATAAGAATCTTGGAATTTTAGCTATGAGAGATCATAAAAGTAAGCCAGTTTGTTTTACAATTCATTTTATAACTAAACTAAGGTTGAGAGCTTGTCACCAATTTAGATGACTGTAATGGCATATTCAGAATTAGAATAGAGATTTTCTTAGTCTTTCTGCTGCGTTATTTTTCTGAACCTGATTGTTATATGGGTATATATTTATATTCACTAGAGTTGTGTGATTTTTAAGTATAAACAACCTATTTTATTCTTTTATAATCCACAGGGTAATATACTATTGTGTGTCATTGCTTTACCAGTTCTATTCTTCTGTTCTTGGCAGACAAATTTACTTTATTTTTTTTTTTTAACTAACATGAGCGACAGGGCTGACTTGGGTCTTGATGGACTCCTGATATGGGCTAAATTTTCTGTTGTTATGCCACTCATTTTCACCAAGCCCTCTGAAGAAACAAGAACCTATTCCAAGCACCGCAGGGAATTTACATTGGTTCTAAACAGGGTAGGTAGCAAGCTGCAAGACTTCTTATTGAAGAACATGATTGCGTAGATGACTAGTAGAGTTTTTTTCTGATTTTGGCTCCATAATGTCTAAGTTAGGATTAAAAGATGGGAGGAGATTATGATGGCCTTTGAAAGGGTACAATCACCGACTTGTGACACTTTCTGCCTATGATATTAGTCAGTACTGTTGACCTGTGCACATGAAGGCTAAGAAGTAGTTCAAGGAAGATTTTTCTGACCTGGTGTACCGTATTATATTTTTCTTTAATATATGTTCATCAAAGTTTGGTGAATATTAAAGGAAAGGCTTTAGTTGTTTGTTTCATTTATTATTAAGTATTGCAGGCCAGGGTAAAGAAGGAACCAGATAGAGCTGTCAGAATCTTTCCCACCCATTGCCAGTTAAGTATTTTCATCTTTCTGACTCCACCTCTTTTTCCCTTGCACAGTGGTGGATATGTGAAGTTGTTGGTATTAATGAGGTTTTTTTTGTCACTATTTTCTTATAGCTGGTCTCTTGACTCTGTCTTGCTTGCCTGTATATAGTCGGGTTCTCATTTTTAGATGAATTACTGAATTTCTTTGTGGCTGATCTTCTACCTATTCATGTAAATAATGGCTTGACTCTTTGGGTCTACATCTTATTCCTTCATGTGTTTTCTACTCTATGATCTTGGTCAGTTTTGACTGTTGGTTCCTGATTACTTCCCTGAATCTAGTCTTATTTTCACAGCTGTTTCTGGTCCTGTGGTTCTGTGAGCCAGTCACTGCTTTTTGATCCACCTAGATCAGCCAGTAGAAAAACTCTTGGTCCTGTTACCTTTTATGAAGTACTTTTTTGGGTATACCCTTTATCTTAATCGTTACTGCCTTGCTAAATGAAATATTTGAGTCTGGGTGAATTATAAAGAAGTAGGGGTTTATTGACTCACAGTTCTGGTGGATGGAAAGTCCAAAGGTACAGGCCTGGCATCAGGCCAGCCTAGGCATAGCTATATGACAGAAGCACAGATGGTGGCAGTCACAGGCAGAGAGAGAGAGAGCTTCAGGCAACTGACTTTCTTACAGCAACCCGCTCTCATGAGAACTAACCCCTTCTCACAGAGTTAGAACTTAACTGGATCTCATGAGGCATCATTAATCTATTCATGAGAACGTTGCCTCCATGGTAATCACCATGATCCTTACCACCTTCCAGTACCAAATTCCAAAACATGAAATTTTGGAAAAACCATTATGTAAATTGTAACACCCTTGATAGGGATTATAATGTATAAATTATGTAAGTAAGTAGTATTATGTAAGTTTTCATAAATATCAAAATGTTCACATTTTGGAATCTTATTTATAATAAGAAGATAATTAACAGCTAGGTCTTTAAAAGGGTATAACTGATATTTCTCAAATATTTGAAAGGGAAGTATGAAGAGACACATAGGAGTAATTGGGAATCGTTTTTAAAAGGTATAAATTCATTTTTCTGGGACCAGCAGATGACATAGTGGTTACATTGCCGGACTCCTACATGACCAACCACAGTTCAAGTCCTGGACCTGGTGGCTTGAAACTCATGCGAGGTGTGTGCACATGTACACCCAAAATCCCAGAGGAAAACGGAGACAGGATTGTGGCATGGCCATCCACCCAGGGGGTGATTTCTCGCTTGCTTGCTTTCTATATTTCTGGTGCATGCATGCACCCTGTAGCAAAAATCTCCCCCAAAACAAAGTCTATTTTCCCATATTTCTCCTTCTAGCTAGAGATATGGAACTAACACAGACCTAAGTTGTCTATAAATGCAACAGGACTTTACAAAGGGGAGGATCAATGTGAATTAGCTTAAGAAAATATTATGCAAATGTTGAAATTTAATACAAGTCTTAGAAATGAGTGGAATTTTGGTCATGAAAAAGTAGATGACTTTTCTGGGAGTATGAGCAAAGTAATCACAGATTTGTCAGATCAGCAAGAACATTCTAAATATATCAGTAGCTGCGTGCTGAGTTATGAGTTGAAAAATCGGATAAATAGATGAGGTAATTAGGTGGAGCAAAAATGTTAAAACCTCAAATTGCAGTTTTGTTGTGATGGGGTTGTGGAGCCACTGTGTGTTCTTGAGCAGGGAAGTGAAACAATGCAGACGAAAGCCATTCTGTGTCAGAATGCTAGTGCAGTGATGTGGGTGAAAGGGGATGTGAGGTCTTTAGGGACACTTGGCTGGTAAGTATAGAATGATCAGATAAAACCTAGAATTATTCTTACACATTTATGTTTTATTACAGTACATGAGAATTAAACATAAATAGCAAATATTGGGCTATTGGCAAAGTCATGGCACATTTTTGCTTAGAAAAACAGAAAAATCAAATTTTTATACCTTATTACATTTAGGTCTCAATTCCATAATCTGTTACAATATTAGTAGTTTCTCCAAATAATTACTTTCCCATTACTTAACACACATGAAAGCATAGTGATTATGGGTTCAGCTCCCATCCGTCGTCATACTTCCATTTTCCTTTCTGTCCTGACTTGTGGCATCAGAGGCATCCTAGAGCAGCAAAGTGACTTAATATTTTCCTCAAACTAGACAGAGTCCTAAAGATTCTGGCAGCTTGTGGATTGCCTTGTCAGGAGGATAACTAACTGCATAAGGCCTAATGTAGGGTAGGGAAGCCAGGCCTAGGCTGCTGGTACTTAATGTGAAGAGGACACAGAGAAAAGTCTGGGACCCTGCAACATTTGGGGCAGAGAAATTGAGGGGTGGGGAGCATGGCAGTGGTGAAGAATAGAGGAAAAGGTTAAGGGAGGATAAGGGACCAGATAGTTTGGTGGATCCATATAAGAAACTTCTCCCTGTGGTAACCAGCAGTTAGCATAATGGCTCTGTCACTGGACTCCCACATATGTGCCACTCTCTCAACTGCGGTTCGTGTCCTGGACCCGGTGGCTTAGAACTCACGCCAGGCGCGTGTGCGTGTGTGCCCAAGATCCCAAGAGGAGAATGGCGGAGAAGGGATTGCGGCGTGACCATCCCCCCAGGGGGTGATTTCTCGCTTTCTGTCTCTATGTCTCTCTCTGTCTGGTGAGCACACACGCCCTATGGTGAAATCCTCTCCAAAAAAAAAAAAAGAAACTTCTCCCTGTTAGGATGAAGTGTCAAATTACAAAGAATACTTTTATTTATTCAGAACAGTTAGTGGAAAAATTGAAGTCATGAGTTTATTTTGGTGCAAAAAAAAAACTTTGAAAACTATGCATAGTTTTCATAGTACATATTTTCCACGAACTTTTTGAAGACACCGTATGTAAGTAAGATGAAGGTAAGAACCCCAGTGGAGAATTATAACAAGGTACAAATAGCCAGCTCACAGACATTTAAAAAGTAATAAGCATGAGAAGTACTGAACACTCCTGTTAATTGAAAAAACTATTTTATAACTAAATTGAAAAGTATTAGTAATATTTAATTTTGATAAAGGGAAATAGTCATTTTCCTGTAATCCTGTGGCTATATCTTAAAGGTCTTAAAATGCGTATTCTTCGACCAACAGCTTTCCTCCTGGAGATTTAGCATAAAATAATCTGAGATTTATGCAAAGATAACTAAGAATGTGTTTATAGCATCAGTGTTTATTATCTTGAGAAACTGGAAGCAGTTTAAATGCCCAGTGGTAACACTATCCATTCTGTGGTATGTATAGATAGATGTCAGACAGCCATTATAAAGCATGGTATAGAGCAACAGTGACAAGGGGAAATGTTTCCAAATATCAAGTATGTTTAGGAATACGTTTCCACTTACATATTCTCACACAAAAGAAAACACTGTCAGAGATGGAGACAAATGCATTTTTTCAAAGATCAGAATAACAAATACCAGATTAATTCTATTTATAAATGGGAGAACACTGGATAATAGATTAGTCTTTTCATTTTTCTGCATTTTCAAAGCTTTTTATATTTTGCATATAGAGAAACAAATCATAAAGGCAGAGAGTGTAGGGTAGAAAAAGTAATGAAGGGAAACTTGAAAATTAAGAACCAGAAATAGTTTTGACAGCTGTGGAGTAATCAGGGGAGATAATTTAGATAAAGTACATAAATGGGCTTCATAGAATATATTTCATTAAGAATATGTATTACAAGAAAAAATGCAGAAGTAGAATGCCGATGAAGCTGTGAGAGCAAGTATGCATGTGTTCATTAATTCAGCAAATATCTTCAGGTATTTTCTTTGTTCTAGGGTCAGTATATATGTATTGATGAGCAAAAAGCATATCATCCAAATTATCATTGGGATTACAGCCTAGTGTGAGACTTTTACCATAAAATCATAAAAATGATTATAGAATTATAAACAAAAATAAATAGAGCCAGGTGGAACAAAGGAAAGGAACTAGACCATAGATGATCAAGGGAGAAACTAACCTAGATGATCAAGGGGGACTTTCTTAAGGAAGTGAAGATAAAACCAAGGAAGTTGGGTAGACATTAATTAGGATCATAGCAGGTGCAGTTCCAGGGGAAGGAAGCCGAATCTCCTTTTAGTGGAAAGAAGAAAATGCAATGGAGAAACCAAAAGAAACCGAATAGAGTGGAATAGAGAGTGATGGAGCAATGTGGGTTTAGTAAGGCTAGAGGTAGGTATGCCAAGCAAGACCATTTAGGTCACATTAAGGATTTTGGTCTTTATTATAGCACAAAGGAAAGCTGTTAAAGTTGTATGTGAGGTAAGTATGTGTTGGGGAGTGCGATAGTTGGATTAATAATTTGCAAAGATGTAGTGGGTGCATAGTAAATATTGAAAGGGGACCAGAGTAAACACAGGATGACAAATTACAAAACCATTACTATAATTCAAGAGAAAAAGGTGATGACTACTTGGATGGATGATGTGAAGTTGCCAGAATTAAAGCTTTATGTATAAGAGATGTGGAAAGTTCATGGACTATTAGTGATGAATTAAATATAGGGCATGAGAAAGCTCTCAGGAAGATTTCTAGGTTTCTAGGATAATTCTAGATAAATTCTAATGCTGTTCATTGAAAAGAGGTAATTCTCAAAGAGGTCCAGCCAGAAGGGTCTTAGTGAGGTTAACTTTGAGGTGTCTTTAAAATATATAAGTAAAGATATTTAACTGATATTGGCTGTATAGAGTTTAGAGTTTTGTGCTAGAGATTTAAGTTTAGATTGTTGCAGTTTAAATAGTTACTGAAGCACGAACAAAGATAAAGCTGTGAAAAAGAAAGTGCATAGATTGTGAAAAAAAGGTAGTCAAAAACTAAACATTGAACCTATAGGACAGACGTGAAGTTGTCAAAGGGGAGAGAATTAATTAAAGCCAAGTAAAAGATTTTTCAAAAAAACAAAGTGGGACCAGCAGTTAGCATAATGGCTATGTCACTGGACTCCCACGTAGTCGACTGCTGTTTGAGTCCCGGACCCGGTGGCTTAAAACTCACGTCGGGCGCGTGTGCGTGCGTGCCCAAGATCCCGAGAGGAGAATGGAGGAGAAGGGATTGCAGCGTGGCCATCCCCCCTGGGGGGTGATTTCTCGCTTTCTATCTCTCTGTCTGTCTGGCGAGCGCACATGCCCTGTAGCAAAAACCTCCCCCACCCAAAAAAAAATAAATAAAGTTATATTGATGCTGCAAAGAGGTTAAATGAAAAACATGAATAAGGTCCAAAACAAATGCCCATTGGATTTAGTGATGGGGTGCAATGGTGGCAGTAGCAAAGAGCCAGGTTAGCTTGTACAGAACATGAGTGTGATTGAGTAGGTTGAGATGATAGGTGCCGCCAACTCCTTTATAAAGTTGGGCTGAAAAGGTGGTAGTTGAAAGGGAAATGCGGAAGCATGTAACAGTCTTTTTTGTTAAAGATGGGAGGAACATGACTGTTTGCAAGTAGATAAGGATAGTCCTGTAAAGAAGGAGAATTTTAATAAGTAGGAGAGCAGATGATGGAAAATTGATAGTGTGTTAAAGGTTCCTAAAATAGCCAGAGTCCTTATACAAGTGGAGGACTTCCATTGTTAAAAGAATGCAAAGACAGGACGTGGATGCAGATGTGGGTACAGGTTTAGAGGCTGAAGTTGGTTTTAGTGGGAGAAAGTGCTGGCAGCCTAGGAATGTTTTCCGTAGTGATAGTCTTTTGGGCAACACCTGTCTCTTACCTGGTGAGTTCTTTATTTTCTTTCTGCGAACCTATAGCAGTGCATAGGTATTTACAGTCCCAGGTACCTGTCCTTACAAACCCATATGCAAATACAAAAACACATACATTTTTACTTAACTATAAAGTTTAAGGTACAGAGTAATAAGATGGTACTTAACTGTCCTGTCTATGGATGTTGACATTTCAGTGTGTTTTTTCCTTCTCTTTGTTTTGTTTTTAGTTTACTAGAGGGTAGATGCACTTGCCAGAGAGAAAAAGAGAGAACCCCTCCCTCCCTGCCCCCACCGTGGGGATGGTCAAGCTGTACTCCCTTCTCCATTTCTCCTCCTTTTTGGCATTTTGTGCATGCAAGCACACACGCCTGGCATGTTTTATAAGCTGTTGGGTCTCTGGAACTCAAACAGGACAGCTGCCTATGTAGGATCCAGCTGCCTAAACCACCATGCCACCAGCTGGCCCCTCTTCTATTTTTCTACTTGTATATAAGCCATTGGCTTTTGTTCTTCCCTGACTGAAAGTCAGCAACTTTCAGTTATATGAGTCCAGTTTGCTGGTATTTAGTTTTATGAAGTAGAAACTGAGGTTCTGCCACTATTTAGAAAATTATTGATACTGTTTGCATAATGTACAGACTTTATATTGATATATACACAGTTTTTTTAATGCTCAGTTCTTTAAGTTTTTAGTCTCTAAAATTATGCATTGTCCTTTTGATAGAAATTAGATGATTCTTACAGAAATGATCTTTACCTATTTGTCATAAGTTAACATGGGTAATATATTATTTCCAGGAAGTCTAGTAAAAATAATACTTTTTTAAAAATTATACATTATATGTGAACATATTCAACTTATTTAACCTATTAATGATGTTGCTTTTTCTTTATGTATCTATTAGGATTTTTTCTGTGAATTTAGTGAACAATCACCATGTGTTCTTTCAAGATCTCTCTTACAAGTAAGTTCCACTTAGTATCAAAATACTTCCTGAAGTGTTAAATTATGTGTACTGCCATTGTTTTGTTTTTTCATGGAACAAAAGTTAGATGCCTTTAAAGGCTATTCCATAGTAGATGTTATACTTCGTAATTGACCTAGAGTGTTAGGCATTTATTGAAATTACATTCTGGGTTACAAAACAAATCTAAATAGTTTTGAAACCTGAAAAGTTTTGAAATCATACAGAGTGCCTTTCTGATCATTTTCAGATTAGACTAGTAATAAGAGAATGGTATCTGGAAAAACTTCAAATACTTGGAGATTTAACAACATACTTCTAAATAACTCCTGAGTCAAGGACAAAGCTTTTTTTTTTTCTGTGGGGGGAGAGGTTTTTGCTATAGGGCACGTGCACTCGCCAGACAGACAGACAGAGATAGAAAGCGAGAAATCACCCCCCCAGGGGGATGGCCACGCATGCATGCGCACCCAGCGTGAGCTTAAGCCACCGTGTCCAGGACTCGAACCGCGGTTGACTACGTGGGAATCTAGCGACATAGCCATTACGCTAACTGCTGGTCCCTCAATGACAAAGTTTTGAAGGAGATTAAAACTGTTTTAAGAGGGCCAGCAAAGGGTGTTGTAGTTAAGGCACTGAACTTCCACATGGCCAGTTGCCACCAGTTCCGGACCTGGGTGGCTTGAAAAATCACACCAGACGTGTTGTGCGTGGGTACCCAAAATCCCAGGAGGAGAATCGAGGAGAAGGGATTGAAGTATGGCCATGCCCCCGGGTGGAGAATTTCTCACTTTCCCTCTTTTTGTCTCTTTCTCTCTCTAGCAAGTGCATACACCCGGTGGCAAAAACCTAAAAAACACAACGTGAAACTATTTCAAACTGGATGAAAATGAAAATATAACATATCGAAACTTGTAGGATACAATTAAGAAAGGTGTGAAATTAGTAATTTTTACTTCCACTTTAGGAAACCAGAAAAAGAAGAGCAAATTAAAGCAAGCAGAAGGAAGGAAAAAATTTTAGGACAAGTACAAAAATCAGTGAAGTATGAGACATAAAAACAAAACAGAAAGTGCAGCCAAGAGCAGGCTCTTTGAGAGTAGAGTAAGGTTGGCAAACTTACTGGGCAGAATAAGAAAGGTGAGAAGATGCAAATGACTATAGCTAGGAAGAAAGAGATGATATTAGTACACACCCTGTACATATTAAAAGGAATAATTTAGAAACATATGTGCCTCTGTGTCCAAAATTTCAAAACTTAGATAACATGGACCAATTCCTTGAAAGACATAAACTACCAAAACTCACTCAAGAAGAAATAAATAACTTGAATAATGCTGTATCTACTAAATAAATTGAATTTATTAGTTTAAAATCTTCCAACAAGGAAAACTCTAGGTCAGTTCTAGACAGTCTCTTCCATGAAATAGAAAAGGCAACAGCACCCATTATATGAAGCCATTAACTTAGCACCAAAATCAGACTGACATTATAAACATAGGTAACTATAGACTTATGAATACAGACATAAAAATCTTTAACAAAGTGTGAGTAAATTGAATCCAGTGCTGTATAAAGAGCTAACTAATGCATTATGACCCAACAGGATTTCTCCCAGGAAAGCAAAGCTGATACAGCGTTTTAAAATAAATTATGATTCTGGGCTGGCAGGTGACATGGTAGTTAAGGTGCTAGACTCCTGCGTGGGTGACTACGGTTCTCGTCCCAAACTTGCTTGCTTTCTTCCTCCCCTGCTCATCTTTCTCTGATCAAAATAAAATAGTAATTAATAAAATTAAATCATTCTTTTAAAAATCAATTATAATTCACCATATAATTTTTTTTGAGAGAGGGATTTCTGCTATAGAAGATGTGCACTTTCCAGAGAGATAGTGAGAAATCACCCCCCGGGGCGAGTAGCCACACCATATTTTCTTCTCTTCCATTCTCCTCTTGGAATTTTGGGTACCACGCACACATGCACCTGGCATGAGTTTACATCAGCAGGTCTGGGACTTGAACCACATGGGAGTCCAGCAGAATAATCATTACATCATCTACTGGTCTCCATTGTATAATCTTAAATCTCAGTAGATTCAGGAAAGCATTTGAGAGAAGTTATCTTTCTTTATGATTTAAAACTCCTATAAAAATTGGAATACAACAGAACTTCCCAGCTTGATAAGGGCATATATAAAAACCTAAAACTAACATCATAACCACCACACCAGCTGCTGACTCTCTTGAAAGACAAAAGACTAAATATTTTCCTCTTAAGATGAGAAGAAAATAAAGATTTCCACTCTCATCACTGTACTGTTACTCAATATTGGACATTTTAGCCAGTACATTAAGGCAAGAAAGAGAAATAGAAGGCATACAGTTTAGAAAGGAAGAAGTAATATCGCCTATTAACAAATGACATGATTTTCTATGTAGAATGCATAGGAGTCTGCATAGGTGGGTGAGTTTAATGAGATCATAAGCTATGAAGTCAATATCCAATTTTTATAGCTGTCAACAATGTAATTCTAAAATTTATATGGAAAGGCAAAGGAATTAGAATAGCTGAAACAATTTTGGAAATACTAAAGAGAATAAAGTTGAATAAAGTTAACATCTTCTGACTCTAAGATATTTTGATATTCACAAAGTGATGAATACATGGTTCCGTGGAACTGAGAAGAACATCCAGAAAGTTCCTTTTAAAGAAAAATGTGTTGCTTATTATAAAAGCCTACAGTATATTTACCAGTATATCTTTATCAATTGACTGATGACAAATAATTGATCAATAATATAAGGTCATTTAATTTCTGACTAAGGTGCAAAGGGAAATTAATGAAGAAATGGTGGTCTTTTTCAGTATTTGTTATAAAAATAATTGGATAGGCATATGAAAAATACTGACCCAGTGCATTATAAGCCTAAATACAAAATGTAAGACTATAAAACTTGTAGAAGAAAAGATGAGAGAAAAGTCTCTGTAACCTTGAGGAAAGGAGTTCTTAGGTATGATATCAAAAGCACAGTCCATTGAAAAATGATAAATTGACAAATTTAAAACTTAGTCTATAGAAGATTTTTTTATAGAATTATTTAATTTTATTAATTAATATTATTATTTTTTAATTTACTATAGGGCATGTGTGCTCACCACAGAGAGAGAGAGAGAGAGCAAGCTGCCAGGTCCAGGACTCAAACTGCAGTTGGCCCTGTGGGAGTCCATTGCTTAACCACCACCAACTACCTGCCCCAAAGGATACCATTAAAAAGATACCACAGAGTGAAAGAAAATTTGCTTATATGTCTGACAAAGAACTTACATGTATACCACATAAAACATCTATAAATACAATAATAAAAAGAAAACAACCGTACTTTTTTAGTTGATCAAAAAATTTGAAATAAAACTTATTTAATACAGTGTTAGAGAAATGTAGGTTAAACTACAAAATACTGTCCACCTTTCAGGATATCTTAAAAAAGAACTCTTGAAAATACCAAATGCCGGTAATGTTATAAATGTAAATGTGTAGTGTTTCAGCCACTTTAGAAAATGATTTGGAAGATTCTTACAAAATTAAACATGTGTATCACTCTCCTAGTTGCAAAGTAAAATCTGTCATTCTGCTAGAAACCCCTTTGCAAATACTTAGAGTTGTTTCATTTCATAATCACCAGAAACTTAGACAGCCCAAATGTTTTTAGCTTATTTCTCATTTTCAGAATATATGGGGTTATAAAGCACTCATCAGGAATAAAGGTTATTAAATAAAATTATTTATAATTTATTTAATGTTTCATAGTTGATGAAGCTCTTACATTAGTTCATTTGGCATACTCACACTAATCATTTTAACTAGCTCAAGTCAGTATACTGCTCTTGACTTGGAAAATTATTATTTGTATATACTTTGCATTCTCCTGCAATTAGGGTTAATAAGTGGCACCTATTGTGGAGGCAATAATTTATATGAAATTAATTTTCCACCAACTTTTCATATATTGCAATCACATTTATGTTCTATAGTACTTATAAGAAGTAATGATAACTATATGTGTGACAACATTACTAACATGTAACATTTGTTTTAAGACCACATTCCTGGTGGATAACAAAAAGGTCTTTGGAACTCATCTCATGCAAGACATGGTGAAAGATGCACTTCGGTCTTTTGTCAGTCCTCCGGTGCTTTCCCCTAAGTAAGTATTATAGGCCAGTTTGTAGTTGAAGTGTTTCTTTAAAAACTCGTTTTCTCAGTACTCCTTATTTACAGCCATAATATTATATATAAAAATAGTTTGGGATCAGGACCAGCAGGTGGCATGGTGGTTAAGCCACTGAACGCCTACATAGCCAACCATGGTTTGAGTCCCATACCCTGGCAGCTTGCTTTCTCACTTTCCCCTTCTCTCTTCCATCTCTTTATGATCAAGTTTTTTTTTTTTTTTTTTTTTAAATGAATGAATAAAATTAAATCTTTAAAAAAAAAACTGGGATCAATTCCTCATATAAAAATCTCAGTCGTGTTAAAATTAATCTCTGCTACATGTTTAGATTTAAACTAAAAAGTTTCTCTGAGATGCAATACAAAATGAAAAACTTACAGGAGTTATCACAAACTCACTAACTAGGGGCCAGCAGATGACATAATAGTTATGTTGCTGGACTCCCATGTGGCTGACCATGGTTTGAGTCCCAGACCCAGTGGCTAAAAACTCACACTGGGCACCTATGTGTGTGTCCAAAATCCTGAGAGGAGAATGGGGAAGGGATTGCAGCAGGGCTATCCCCCAGGAGGTGACTTCTTGCTTTCTGAGACTGTCTAGCAAGCACACATGCCCTATAGCAAAAATATCTCAAAAAAAAAAAGGAAATTCACTAACTTGTCTTGGATTGCTTTGTTTTGCAAAGCATTGTGTTAGAAACTTTTGAGAAATGTTTATAAAAATAAGATAAGGTCTCTCTTCTCAATATCAAGTCTAGATAAAAATATAAAATGCTATAACTGATCCTTAAACTATACTCAGGTAGAGGCACTGCCCTGAAAGCAAAGCTTGCTGCCATAAAGGCTGGAAGGATTGCATGTATAAAGAGTGAGTATTATAAAACAAACAAACAAAAAAACGAGTGGGAAGTTTCCAGTGGAGAAGGAAGGAAGGAGTCATTTCTTAGCAAAAACATGGTACTGCAAAATGTATTTTAAATTAGTAGCTCAGTGTTCTTGTTACTCAGCATTCTTACTAAGAGTTTGTTAAACACATCATGCCACATTTCCATCCACAATTCTCTGATAGCTTCCTGTCTTAGGTTGGGTCGCTGTAGGCAGACCTTGGGAACAAGATTCACGGAAACATAATTTAGAAAGTGTTACCAGGGAAAGCAGCATAGTTTGGACCAAGGGAACATGACAAGGAAGAAGGCTGAGTGAAGGTGGGTTCAGTCCTCTAGGAAGCTCTGGAGACAGTACAGGTTCCACCTCAGAACTGTCCTTGTCAAAGATATGGGAGTTTGAGAATTAAATAAAGCAGTTGCAGAAGATACACATAACCAAGTATTGTCAGTGTTGGTTATGTTTCCCCATTTCATTTACAGTAAAAGTCATGGTCTTTATGATTGAGCTGCAAGTCTTTTCTCCATTCTTCTCTTGGATTTTGGCTATGAATGCACCTGCACCTGGCATGATTTTCAAGCTGCTGGGTCCAGGACTGGAACTACAGTCAGCCATGTGGGAATCCATTGCCTTAACCACAATGCCACCTGCTGGTCCTTTACAGCTATCTTTTATCACTATTTGTTTTGTAGAGGTTTTTGCCTTAGGGCGTGTGCCATCTCTAGAGGGAGAGACACAGACACAGCTACAGGGAAAGTGAGAAATCACCCTCCAGGGGGATGACTACACTGCAATCCCGTCTCCTCCATTCTTCTCCTGGGGTCTTGGGCCAAATTAACTCACACACATACTTGGTGTGAGTTTCTAGCCACCAGGACCAAGACTTAAACCACGGTTGGCTATGTGAGATTCCAGTGACGTAACCACTACACCATTTGCTAGCCCCTTATCACTCTTTTAATGTGTTTCTTTTACGTGTGTTTACTTTTGAAAAAATTCTTTTTACTGGGGACCAGTAAATGGTGTAATGGTTATGTTGCTGGACTCCCAAATGGCCAATGGTTTCAGACCTGGTGGCTTAAAACACACCGGGCATGTGTATGTTTAAGATCCTGAGAGGAGAATGGAGGAGAAAGGATTGCAGCATGGCCATCCCCCCTGGGGGGTGATTTCTCCCTTTCTGTCTGTCAGTCTTCCCGGTGAGCACATGCACCATATAGCAAAAAAAATCTCTCAAAAAAAAAAATTCTTATTAGTTAAACTCTATTAAAAGTGGAATTCAGCCTTTTCATGTTTAGTGTGACAAAGGAAATACATTATTTTATTTTATTTCTCCCCTCAGTTTATCCTTTTTATTTTGTTTTCTCCTTATTTATTCTGGATTTCATTCCATTTTTAGTAGTTTTTCTTTTTACTTTGGGAGTTCTTCTACACCTTTTTGTAAGCCACCGTGCTGCTGTGCAAGATACAAATACAGACTGAGTGTATTTCTCCCCAACCTAAATACAGATTCTTAGTCTGAAGCTGTACCCTCCAGACTGATGGTATTTGGAGGCAGAGATCTTGAGAGTTAGTTGGGTTTAGAGGTCACAGAGGTGGAGCCATCTTTGCAGACATGTGCAGAATGGATACATATAAAACTCTGAATACTGAAGTTCAGTAAGGCAACTCTGCCTTCTTGTTTCAGCTCTCATACTATTAACATCCATGATTTGTATCATGTTTTTTACAGTTTTACAATGTTTGTGCTTATTTCAATGTTTAAAATTGCCCTTTGTCTGGCCCCATTGCCTAGTAAGTAAGGAAGCAAGGTCCTGCATGGCTGACCACATGGTTCTAATCCTGGCCCCAGCAGCTTGAAACACATGCTGGATATTTATGCATGTGTACCCCAAATCCTCACAGGATGGAGATGGAAAAAGGATTATGATGTGCCCATACCCTAACAAGGAGATGCTTACTCCATCTTTTTCTTTTTGGTCTGTCCATCGCACCCTCTGCATGCCATCCGAGCATAGTCTAGTCTTTAACAAACTAGGGTTTGTATTAAGTAAGCTTTGATAAGGCATGAGTTAACAGTGCTGTTGAGCTGTGAGTTTGGCGTCAATGAATGAGCAGTACATGCTAAGTAAAGTGTCTTTAAACAGAGTTGCACATAAAACAAGGTTATATATTTACCAGTTAATAAAAATGTGACCAGAGGCTCGTAGAAACATTGACCTATATTTTCCGTGGGATCAGTGATTCAGTGGCCTCTAATTCAGTATCCTTGACAACTTTATCGAACATAACCAAATGGTGAGAATCAACTGTCTACCTGGCAAAGTTCTTGTGTGGGAGCCATTAGGTGTTGCATTGTTTTTAAAATTCCAGTGTTATAGTTAAGAAATCCAATGCTGATCTGCTTTTCTCCTCTGTAACTGACTTCAGACCTTCTCCTGGAGCATCGTAGAGCTTATTTTTATTTGAGGAGAATCACACAAAATACTCTGTGTGATTTATTTGAGGAGAATCACACAGAATATTCCTGTATGATTTCAACTAGTTGTATTTGCCTCTCAGACATTGAAGTCTCAAGTATAATCAGATCATTTTTCTCAGTCCTATTTAACTATTACCTTACTTTTACTTGTTTTGCCTTTTGTTTTTCCTTGGTTTTTTCTCCCTTTTTTTTTTGCATTCCTGTTTTACTAGGTCTTTAGCTTACCTCTGTGTGTCACTCATGGCATTCATCTCCTTATTTATGTTGTGTGGGCAAATGTTTTTCCTCCTGATCTTCAGAGGTAGCAAAAAAATCTTCTGTCATCTCCTGAATTTTATATTTGAAAATCATGTTAAGATCCAGAGTCTTCAGTCTCTTAAGTGATTTTCATACTATGTATTAAAGATGAGATGTAATTAAAACTGTAGCACTTCAGTTTTATTAGCCCCCTGCTAGGGTGTTTTTTACTTTTTTTTCCTCCCGACTGCTGGTGCACTGTTACTTTCCATTGCATAGCCATGGCTCTATTTATCTTTGAGGCTCTGTTCAGATTGCCAGCAAGTTGTCAGCTTCTACTAAGGCATCAGGGGAAAGTCTGTCTGTTCCCCCCGCCCATCTTGTTAGGTACAAAGGCTACTTATCTTTCACTGTAATTTTCCCATCTCTTTGACCCTTGTAGCTTTCCTAGGGCCAGGAAGATTAGCTGGTTCTCCCAAACTGCTCAGGAAGGTGATAAAGATGCTTTACTGTTAACTGAGATAAGGAAAGCCATTAATGAACTATTTTGTGGCGAGGGATGAGGTGTCAAGGAATATTTAGGTACTGATTTATAGCTAGTGCTTGGAAATGGGGATACAGTTTGAAAAACTTAAGATTCTGTGTAATGTTTTCTTTGTGATGACTGTAATGAGCTTAGTCCCTGAGGATAACAGTTGTAGGAAAATATTTGATGTTGAAATACAGTCATGAAAAAGTAGGGCTTTGAACTTCCCCTTTTCTCTTTCCTAATTAGTTCTTATTGAATCCAACTCTTAATTGTCCAGATCTTAAACAAAAGGAATTAGAAATAGCACACATGTCTTATGTGAACAACACAGGAATAGAGAAATATTTCTTAATCTAATCCTTTTAGTTTTCAATTTAATAATGTATTTGGTTTCATTTTGTCTTTGTATTTTCTCCATCTGATGGTAGTATCTATGGTAATCACTGCTGCTTTTGTCTAGGGCAGATTTTAATGATGTGAATATTGCCTTTTAGGTGCTGCCTATATAATAATCACCAGGCCAAGGACTGTATCGACTCCTTTGTTACTCACTGTGTTCGGGTAAGAACAATGGTTTGGATTATTGATATCTTAAATATTGTTGGAAATAGAATTCCCTTGATAACATTCATTTCTGGTTTTTTATTAATATTTTATATTTGGGACCAGCAGGTGGCATGTTGGTTAAGGCACTGGACTCCCACATGGCTAACCGTGGTGTGAGTCCTCCACCTGGTAGCTTGCTTTCTCACTTCTCTTGTCTGTCTTGTCTGTCTCTTATTAGATAATAAAGATAATTTTCTTTAAAAATTTATGTCGTGTTATCTTTTCACTGAATAATTTAAAAAATTGTCTCCTTTGAACACTAAAGTAGATGGCTTTATAATCTGTAGTTTTCCTGGCAGGTCTTTAGATACAGAGGGCAGCCTCTGATGACCTCTTACTGCAGCCTGCGGGGACTGCAGATATGGAACATTTTGGCCCCCAACTGGAAAAATGGCAGTTATTTTCTTAAAATATTTTGTAAATGGACATATTTTTTAACCTTATAAACAAAGAATATTTGTAACATTCTTATACTTTGTACTGCCTTTATGAACAAAGTTATGATAAAAATAATTAACTAGGCAGTTCTTTTGGGCCTGAGGTCATTACCAGGTGTATATAGAAACGCAACATGGTATGGTGAGGGAGAATCAATAGAAGACCAGATTTTTAAAGATCACTAACATTCTTTCATTAGCAGATATACCGCTTTTCTGTAGACTGCCCACTCTTTAAGGAGTAAATGCTGCTAAGGATCAAGTAAGATGTCTCTCAAAGTATACAGATACAAAACTGTTATACTTTAAAAGTTGTATAATTCATGCTCCATAAATCAGAGCATCCTACTGTCCATGTCTGTTGTCGGATTAGTGATAGTATTTTATGTGAGCATTCTGTATGGAGAGACTAGAAATAGAAGAACCTTAGTTAGGGTTTGTAGTCATTAGCCATTACTCAAGCCATGTAATAATTAGGCATTCCAGCATATTTAAAGCAGCAAAGAAATGCCAGGTTTAAGCACTGGCTTTTGGTGTAAAATAAGCAGAAAAGAATTGTCCTCTTGAAACTACAAGAGTTATCTAAAGATGGAAGGAAAAAAGTTTGAAACCAGTGTCATAGCACAGTGGTTAATCCCTGTGCATAGAAGCCAGATCCCATATATGGCCAGCTGCAGTTGAAACCTAGCTCTGGTGCTTAAAAAACACTCCAGGAGAGAGAGAGAGAGAGAGAGAGAGAGTTTGTATATGCCAGAAATCCCAGTAGGATAGAGAAATAGATGAAAAAGGATTGTGGCATGACCATGCCCTACTGTGAGGTGATTTCTCTTCTGGCAAGTGAGTCTGTCCTCTGGCAATCAAAGAAAGAAAACGCTTCACAAACTGCCACATTTTTCTAGTTCGTGGTAAGTTCTATTGTTGAGTTCTTTAAAAATGAACACATATGTAAGGAATATTCATTGGCGTGATTCTCACATACACAGTGTATTTTCCCCTCAACACAGTTTTGTTATAATGTGCAGTGAAGGTGCTTAACAAATAACTTTTTTTTTTTTTTTTTTTGAGAGGTTTTTCGCTATAGGGCGCGTGCGCTCACCAGACAGACAGAGAGAGACATAGAGACAGAAAGCGAGAAATCACCCCCCAGGGGGGATGGTCACGCCGCAATCCCTTCTCCTCCATTCTCCTCTCGGGATCTTGGGCACGCACGCACATGCGCCCGGCGTGAGTTTTAAGCCACCGGGTCCGGGATGCGAACTGCAGTCGACTACGTGGGAGTCCAGCGACATAGACATTACGCCACCTGCTGGTTCCCCTTAACAAATAATTCTTGACTGTGAAAACTGATTTTGAGGATGTGGAATGTTATGTTTCCTCAGTGTCAGGAACATTCATGTTGACAGTAAACACATGTTTGTGCCTTGCAGCCATTCTGTAGTCTTATCCAGATCCATGGGCATAACAGAGCTCGACAGAGGGATAAACTCGGTCATATTCTTGAAGAATTTGCTACGCTGCAGGATGAGGTAAGAGCCACATTTCCAAACTTCCTTATAAAATCAAACAACTCATGCAGTTCGTCAAAATTTTTAAAGGCAGTTCTCCAGAACAATATTTTGACTAATTTTTCAATATGAAGAGCTCTTAAAATGTAGCAGTTTTAGATAGCAAAAAAAGTTTACAAAAAGAAACAATAGTCCAAACTGCTTTCTCACTTCTTTCTCTGTCTGTCTGTCTCTGGTGAGCATATATGCCCTATAGAAAATAAATATAAACATCTTTATATTGCTTCTTTGATAATCATGATAAATTATGTATAATATATATAGAAATAGAGTTTTATAGCAAGTTCACATAATAAAAATCTATTAATTTCAAAGTTCTTTTGTGAGAAATAACAATATTATTTGATAACATAACTAAAGACCTGAAATCAGTTATTCATACTTTTGCCCTTTATATGGGTATCTATTTTAAGGAGTGTTTAGGTAAATGCATAACCACCGTAAGAGCACTTTGAATGTAAACTTAGTCAAAAATGCATTTTGAAGTATGATTTTTGGGGGGATGGGGAGATTTAAATTTTCTGCTCATATGCTATTTTTAGACACTTTTAAGTTCTCTCAATACTTTTAATAAAAAACAAGCAATGTTATGACATTTTATTTTGCTAGGCAGAGAAGGTTGATGCAGCGCTTCACACTATGCTGTTGAAACAGGAACCTCAAAGGCAACACTTGGCCTGTTTAGGTACCTGGGTCCTTTATCATAACCTTCGAATTATGATACAATATCTTCTAAGTGGCTTTGAATTGGAGCTCTACAGCATGCACGAGTACTACTACATATATTGGTAAGAGAACTATTGGAGTTATAATTGATAGAGAGCAGAATAAATAAGATCCAACAGAGCACTGATAAAACAGAGTACAATTTCTGGGTACTTTTCATTTAGTGTTTTTTTAGAGTGAGAGAAGTTTGCTTTAAGGCGGGTGTGCTCACTGGAAAGTGAGAGACAGACAGACATGAAACGAAATCACCCACTCCCACCCCACCCCACCCCCATAGGTGATGGCCATGCCACACAGTCCCTTCTCTGTTCTCTTCTCAGGACTTTGGGTATGAACGCACATGTGCCCAGCATGTTTCAAGCCACTGGGTCTGGGACTTGAATTGTAGTTGAATACATGAGAGTTCAGTCATGACCATTAGGCCATCTGCTGGTCTCTGTTCAGTATATTTTTACTTTAGTTGTGGAACAGATAGGAAAATATCTATGGAAAACTAAGTCTAGATCATCTTGAATATCTTCAAATACTATAACATTTAAATATATATTTCCAGCTATTTGAATATTTATGCAAAAAGTACTAATGCATGTGGATCCAAAGTAAATTAATTAATTGATGTTTTATTTGCTTCTATAGAGGAAAATTAATACATTTTGCCTTGACTTAGTAGCTGTGGATATACTTGGCCAAGTTAAAATTCACAATAGAACCAGATATTTCTTCGGAAAAGAAACTGGCCAAGATGATCACTGCGATCATAACTGTTCGAAACTATGGCCCTGAGGATTTTTTTCCAGGAGCTTTAGAGTTGATTTGAGAAGGTCTTTAGCAGAGTAGTTCTTCCCTTTCTTGTCAGAATGAGGTAAAAACAAAAAAACAAGCAAACACAAAAACCTATTAAGAGGGTGTTTGAGAATAAGTTAGGCATGGAAAAACTGTTACCGAAAGAAAGGTTGGGAAAATTGAATATTGAGCCAGCCCCATAACCTACCTAGTGGTTAAGAGAGCTGGATCCCACATGATCAACTGCTTGGTTTGCATCCCAACCCCCTCAACTTGAAAAACACGCCGGGCATGTGTATATGCATAGCCAAAATCCTGACAGGATGGAGAAGTGGAGGAGAGGAGTAGTAGCACAACCACACTCCATTAGAGGGTACTTTCTCTTTCTCTGTCTCTCTCTGGTGAGTGTACACACCCTCTGGCAAATTTAAAATAAAGAAAGAAAATCAGATATGAATCAATTCCATTATCTTATATCTTTTTCTTGGTTTGGCTAATTACGGTGATAATTTTAAACTAATACTGACTTCTGCTGCCCTCTGCAAACACCTAGGTTTAGTATATTCAAGTTTAATCCATTTTGTCATTTTAATTCATAGTTAAATTATTGTATTAACTAAGGTGTGCATTCTTGGTAGTCACTGCTCTGAGGAAGGAAAGCAAGTTCAATTCCTTGTTGTTGACCCAATTTTGTTATAATGAGCAACGAAGGCTCTTAACAAATAACTCTTGACTGTGAAAACTGAATTTGAGTACCAACTATAGAATCTAAGAATAACTATTAATAACTATTTGGTATATTCTCTAACATATTTAGAGATAATGCCAAATAATCCTTACCAGCAGCTTTTTTATATAGCTCCTTGGGATATATTTTATTAACTTATAGTAGATACTTTTGTTCATTTTACAGAGGAACATGTTCAAAATCTTTCTTGTGTTACTTGCAACAGCTAAGTGGAACTTTTTGCTCTTGATTTCTCAGATAATAATATAATTTTATATGCTTTATACACAAAGAATTGGGATTTTAATTTAGCAAATAAACTATTCTGATAAATACTTCATTACTAATTTATTGGCATTTATAAGCACAGTAATTTCGTTTTTTGTTAACAAGAGAAATTTTAGTTAGGCCTAAAAATACCATTGTGATCTTCATAATATAATACCTTTGAACTGCGTTTTGGTAACATGCATCATGATCACTTGGTAAGTATATTAATACACAAATTACGGGCTCAGTCCCCAAAGTTCCTTGTTGAATAGGTCTAGGGTGGGACCCAGTTGTTTACATTTCTCACTAGTTCCAGATGGTAGTGCTTCTGGCCCAGAGATAACAAGTTGAGAAATCCTGGTATAGAGTACCGGCACTCTGACTCTTCTGAGATAGAGCTGTGTATTAATTTTGAAAAACCACCTAATAAAAGCTCATTGATTTTAGAGCAAAGGCCTGACTCCTGTCAGCTTTCCCCTTCACTCATATATCTTTAGGTTAATCAGAAGGTAGAAAGCACTATATATTTTTTTTTCTTTTTTTTTTTTTTCTTTTAAAGAATTATTTATCTGGGGATCATCAGCAAGTGGTGTGATGGGTAATGCGCTGGACACTCTCACATGGCCGACCATGGTTCTTGTCCTGGACCTGGTGGCTTGCTTTCCCACTTTCTCCCTCTCTCTCTCTGTCTCTCTCTGGTCAAATTAAAGTAAATGAATGAATAAGTAAAATTAATTTTAAAAATTCTTTAAACAAAGCTTTATTTAATTTAATTTCTTATTTATGCCTTCATTTATTTTAATTTGATCATAGAGAGACAGACACAGAGAGGAAAAGTGAGAAAGCAAGCCAACAGGTTCAGGACTTGAACCTCAGTTGGCCATGTGGGAGTGTCCAGCACCTTAACCACCACACTACCTGCCAGGTCCCAGAAAGCACTATTAGTTCCCTGTAGAAATGCTTCATTGAGTTAAGATACAGGTTATAGACCCTGAGATTTTATAGTGTGGTAAAGGGTGGGGGGTGGATTCAGTTGTATCCTATAAAAGGATGCTGTAATAAATGGTTTTCTTAAATTCAGAACCAGTAATTATTTTCTGTCCATATAAATTAGAAGCTTCTTTTTATCAGATAAAAGTACATTTCCCTTGGGACCAGCAGATGGCGTAATGATTACGTCACTGAACTCCCACATAGTCAGCCACGGTTTGAGTCCCAGACCCAGTGTCTTAAAACTCATACTGGGCACACGTGTGTGCGTGCCCGCCCGAAACTCCAACAGGAGAAGGGATTGTGGCATGGCCCCCCTTTGGGAGTGATTTCTTGCTTTCTGTCTGTCTCTCCAGCTCCAGCGAGCACACATGCCCTGTAGCAAAAAACAATCTCTCAGAAGAAAAATAAAATACTTCCCTTTTGCCTTAGCTGCAGAAAACCATACTGCTCAGTTTAGTTTCAAAATATAATGTCTAAGTTATTCCAAGCACCTTTTTGACTAGGTTTTGGTTTGCCTTAAAACGTTCTATTTTATATATGTTTTGATACTATTATCTGCCTTACATCTTTTTGGAAAATGTTGGAACTAGACATTGTATATCCAAACGATCATATTATCTCCTGCAAATTTTCTTTTAATGTAATAATAGTTTATTATGGAGTATGTTACAAAGTAAATATATTCACATCCTAGATTTGAACTACTTTTTTGTCTTAGCAGAATGTAATGTTAAAGTTTTGAAAAATTGTTGTCTGGTATGATACTCTGTTCCATGTTTCACTTGTTAAAGAAACTTAAGTAAATTATGAGCCTGAATTTTTACAATGGTTTTATGTAAAGCCAGTGTTTAAAACCTTTTTCTGAATTTATTTGCTTTATTATATGATTAACAGGCAAAGAAAACATTTACTTAATAGACTGAGGTGAAATGTATCCCAATATACTAAGAACAGTTAAATGGGCATTTGGTTGATTTACATATATATATATATATATATTTGACAAGAAATGTTTTGAAAAGTTATGAGATGTAGGAAGGTAAAATGAATAATTGTAATGTTCATTTTCTGTAAAATCTATTCTCTAATTGGGTTATCTGTTTTTTTTTTTAATAGTTTTTTATTTTATTTTATTTGTTCTTTTTTTTTTTTTTTTAATATGACCAGAGAGAGACAGAGGGTGAGAGTGAGAGAGAGAGAGGAAGTGAGAAAGCAAGCCACCAGATTCAGGACTCGAACCCTGGTCGGCCATGTGGGAGTGTCCAGCGCCTTAACCACCACGCCACCTGCTGGTCCCAGGGTTATCTGTTTTTAAAAAGCTTTAAAATATTCTATAAAGTATTGTTACTACTACATGTGTTAGTAAGACTCTCTGATTTAGATGTCTGCCGTTGACTAGCATTTTGTACCCTTTAAGGTACCTGTCTGAATTTCTTTATGCATGGCTGATGTCAACCCTGAGTCGTGCTGATGGCTCTCAGATGGCAGAGGAGAGGATAATGGAAGAGCAGCAGAAGGGCCGTAGCAGCAAGAAAACAAAGAAAAAAAAGAAAGGTACTGTAGATAGTTTTTAAATAAAAAATAAAGAACATTGGAGTATACTTTAGTTTCTATAAATAAATTGATGGCGAGCTGCTCAGAATTGTAATGTGTGAATTAGTCATTCCGTTTTAGTTCTCATCCTTCATCTTATTAGATAGAAATTACAAGGTAGAGACTGAGACCTAACATTAGCGATATAAGTTCTTTTGGTACCTTTCCTTGCTTTTATTTCTTTGCTTTTCCATATATCAGAGGGTCTATGATCTTAGATCAAGAAGCATAGAATGTGCATGAAAGGGGAAAGAGCAAGAAAGCAGGAGATTTTCTGGCAGAGAAGGACAGAAGTAGCTCTGGGCTGTGCTCTCCTGGTGGGCACAGAAAGACCTTCCAGAGCACTGGGAGGCGAGGCATCATCGTCCAAGATCCTTGAGGAAACAAGTGTTTCCTGGGGGCTGCTGCCGATCAGTTAAGGAAGGTTATAGCTGCTGCTACAGTCATAATCTACCACTTCTAGTTTCCTTAGCAGTTGAGTAGGTAGCTAAATGGCTGTCATTCATGAGTTTCTTGTAGAAGAGGTTAAGCCTCTAGTGAACTTAGAAAAGTTAGTTACTTCATACTAGAATTTTATGGTATTAGCTATTTTGGAAACATGATTGCTTAACCTTTCAGTTGTTTATTGTCTGTAAATTAACTGTAAAATAAAAATTTAGCCTGTAAGAACAAACTGAAGTATAATTTAGTAAACAAGCTGGAAGTTTTTTTAATTAGATTTTCTCTGGCAATAATGCAAGAAGAGAAAAAGAGTATGGAAGATTTTCTTTCTAATTGCAGTTCGCCCATTGAGCCGAGAGATCACGATGAGCCAGGCATATCAGAACATGTGTGCTGGAATGTTTAAAGTAAGTTGTTGAGAGTAAAGTTTTTTGTGCCTCTTAACTCAATTGCTGTTATATAGTTTATTGAAAAACGAACTCTTCTCTGCAATTCTTTCTGCGTTCTAATTTTACCTTTGCTTTACATCTGCCTGAAGATTACTTTTTTGTCTAATTTTCTTTATTTTGAACCTTTGTTGTGTGTCAAATGCTTTGTACTGAGTACATCATAGGATACCATTCCTTACCAGATATGGGCCTTATTTCAAGTGCTTAGTTAATGACAGGCCAGTTGACAAATGTGCAGCACAGGTAATAAAAAGAAATTATTTCTTATGAATGAAAAGGGAAGGTTTCATGGGAGAAATGGGGTTTAGGTTTTTTAGAAGTATATCAGAGAGCGTGGGCCCCACAATGAGTGGCTTAAGCAAAAGCAGGTATCTTTAGGAGGAAGTAAGTACCAGCTTTTAAGCTGTACTTAGCAAATAAAGAAATGATTTGAGGCAATTTACATTAAAATGCATAAGGCATGGGCCAGCAGGTGGCATGGTGGTGAAGGCACTAGACTTCCAAATGGCTGACTGCAGTTTGAGTCCCAGATTTGGAGGCTTGAAAATCACATCAGGCATGCATACATATATTCCCAAAATCCTGAGAAGAGAGTGGAAGAGAAGGGATTGTGGCCTGGCCATCCTCTCTGGGGGATGATTTCTCACTGTCTTTCTCTGTCTCTCTCTAGCAAGTACACATGCCCTATGGCAGAAACCAAAAAAAAAAAAAAAATGTAAAAAGCATAAATAAATAAGGCAGAACATGAACCTCCATTTAGAAAACAGAACCTGTGCTTATGAAAATTGTGTGCTGCTCATTTCTTCAGAAACGTTTACTTGAAGGTTTCAAAGCTACTATAAAAACATGAAACAGGGACAAATAATATGCATGTTCTATAATTTCACTGGGGAAAAAACAGTATTATATCAAACACTGGAGCTTGAATTGTTTTTGTATAAAACATGGCATGTATGGTACTGGATGGTGGTTCAGCCATAAGATGCAGCACTTGGCCAGACTGACCTACGTGTGAAGGTTCTGGGGTCACGTCTGGAGACCTCACTGATTATGCCAGGCATGTTCATACCCATGATCCAGGGCTGCTTGAGGCCAAGAGTGAACTGTGGCATCAAGACCCTGTTAGGATTGCTATCTCTATCCCTCCTTGTCTCTGTCTATTTCTTGCTCATGGAAGAAACTATATTAAAAAAACTAAACATGGCTCATAAAATAAGAATGAATACCAAGTAGCCAGTTTTTCTCTTGATTTTTGAGCTATGAATTCGTGTGTCTGTGTGTGTGTGTATGTATGTATGTATGTATGAATGACTGTCTCTTGTTAACTGTTCTGTATTAATGAAGATAGTTCACTTTTTCATACTGATTTTAGCTTTTTTTTTTTCATTCCATTTCCTTTAGACCATGGTAGCATTTGACATGGATGGCAAAGTGCGCAAACCCAAATTCGAGCTTGATAGTGAACAGGTTCGGTATGAGCACAGGTTTGCTCCCTTCAACAGTGTGATGACCCCACCGCCAGTACACTACCTACAGTTCAAGGTGAACCAGTTTGTGAAATCAACATGAAGTCTTCAGTCTTAGACCTTAGAGAAGAGGCTGTGTTCCTAGCCATCTTGTTAAAACAGTTAAAATTATTGGGCCAGTCGAGCAAGCTTATAAAAGTAGCAATCTTAGATCCAGCTGCAGGTGGTGGGGTGTCACTGCATATTGCTAGAGCCACATGGCAAGGCCCCAGGTTCAGTCTCTCAATCGGCCTGAACATGCCGGGTATACCCATGGACATGCTTGTGATCCTGGCTGGTTGAGAGATGAGTAGAGTCTGGACATGGGAAGACCCTGTCCGGGACTTGTGCCCTTCCTTCCTCTCTCTCCCCGATGGGGAAAAGAAGGTAATAACAAGTATTATGAATATTATCTGGCTTTGTTGGATGTACTCATTACATTAACAGCCATTTAAATCATGAGACTAATATTAGCTAGTATTCAAGGATTGAGAATTGAATATTATTACATAAGGGAGAGATGCTGAGTTGCTTCAGTGTCTGTATATGAATGGATAATGTACAATTATTTAATAACTTTTTTAGTTTTTTTAATATTAAACATGTTTTGAATAATATTTTCCCTTGTTTTTAGGAAATGTCCGACCTCAATAAATACAGCCCTCCTCCTCAATCACCAGAACTATATGTGGCAGCTAGTAAGCACTTTCAGCAAGCAAAAATGATACTGGAAAATATCCCAAACCCGGACCAGGAGGTGAGATCCAATTCACAGAAATTCTAGGGCAAAGGGATGGCAAGAAATATTTGCCTAATTACTCAATGGAGGTTCATTATGAATGTGAATTTTATAGTACTAATAAACAGAATATGTCATGTTTTTACCAAGGATTTCAAGTAGTTTTACAACCTAAACTCATCAGATTTAAAATAATTTTAAGGAAGATATGATGCCAATACCTTATTTGTATAAATATATTGAGTTGTCAGAAATGACCTGACGTATTTCTGGTTTTCTGTGCAAAAATACATCGTGACTTTTCTGACAATCCAATAGAATCTATACAAATTAAGATGAAGAACTATAAAGTAAGTAGAAAGAATAGAAATAAGATTCAGACTGATCCTTAGCTCATGAATTAGTATTCAGTGTGTAAAATCATCTGGCCAGTTAGCACAGGAACCTTATTCCACTTGACCATTTAAAATAAAGGCTATTGCCTTTGAAGACTTTATTTTGTGATATCAAAATAAATTTGGCTTTTGGTATTTTAATAATTTTCTGCATCCCTAATTTTATTAAAATGTAATTTTTCTGTAAATAAGAGTTATTTGTTAGCATATATACACCGATTTGAGTATATCTTGGTATAACTCCCATGAAGGGATAACTTATCAGTATCTGTCAAAAATCACAAATGCTTATTAGATCCAGCAATTCTTGGGATTTATCTTAAAAATACAGGTGCACATACAGGAAGTAAAGGAAGTGATGAATGCGTAAGTATTCACTGCAGCAAGTTCTAATAGCAAAACAAAAACAGACAAAAAAGAAACTTATCTGTCAACAGTGGACTGAAAAGTAAATTATGATATACCCATACAATGCAATATGATGCATCCTTAAAAAGAACTAGAGACCTTTATGTACTATAATGGACCATTTTTTGGACGTCAGAAATTTAAAAAGCAAGGTGCAAAATTGTGTATTTTATATTGCCACTTCAATCACAATGGGGGCAAGGAAGACTGTGTGCAAATACTTTCTTATGTGAGTATAAAATGTCTCTGGAAAGATATATAAGAATTCATAATGGTGGGAACCAGGAGTTAGCGTAATGGCTATGTCGCTGGATTCCCACGTAGTCAAGCGTGGTTCGCGTCCTGGACCCAGTGGCTTAAATCTCATGCTGGGCGCGTGTGCGTGCATGCCCAAGATCCCGAGAGGAGAATGGAGGAGAAGGGATTGCAGTGTGACCATCCCCCCAGGGGGTAATTTCTCGCTTTCTGTCTCTATGTCTCTCTCTGGCTGGCTGGCGAGCGCACACGCCCTATAGCAAAAAAACCTTTCCAAAAGAAAAAATTACAATGTTCTGCACTATTAAAGTTGCTAATACCAATATAGAAAGATAAATTAAAAAAAAAAAAAGAATTCATAATGGTATTTGCTTTTTGGAAGGGAACTGAGTGACTGAGAGGAATAGAAAAGGGGATCTTTTCCTAAAATCACATATACCATCTCATAAAAGAAAATAAGTGAGGGGAGGTACCTATTATAGAGAACATATTTCATTTAGTGGAAACTTCAGTTTTCAACAAAGATTTATCAAGTGCTTCTTGTGTTCCCAGGAGGGAAATGTACTAGGTGGTCACAGGTACAGAGAAAAAGTGTTTTTCTTGGGATGCATAACCAGGGATGCGGCCTTCTAGGCAAAGGGCTCCACATACATAAAGGTGCTGAGGCAAGAGTACACAGGAAGACCAGCCAACAGAAAGTTGTGGCTACAGTGGGGTGAACAAGAGGGTGAGCTGTTAGAGTGCTTGGAGCAGAGAGGACTGACTAGACCTAGATTGTGTTTCAGAGGGATTACTCTGGCACTGTGCTAAAGATGGACTGTAGTGGGCCCAAGGGTGGAATCAGGCAATTAAGTCAGGGAGTCTGCCAGAGTGGTACCCAGGTGAAATACGGTGGTGATGTCTGGGTAAGCAGAAGGGGTTGCATTCTCTATGTTGTCAATGGATTGGATGTGGGACGAGAGAAAGAAGTCAAGGGTGACTTCAAGGTATTCCACCTAAGCAACTAGATGGCTTGATTTGTGAGGGCAGGACTGCCAGTGTAGCAGGACCAGTGGCCAGGCAGAGCTGGAACTCAGTTTGAAACATTAGGCTGGTGGACGTCTGGTCTGGAGTTGAGGAGGAGCAGGTTCTGAATTGTGGTAACAAATGCTTCCAGAGAAAGGTCAGTAAGAAGTCTGCAGTGAGATTTCCTTCAAATTCAGTTTACTCTTATCTCACAGAGATAACAGGATTCCAGTTGATGTTGCTCATGTTGTGTTCAAAGGAAGGCTTCCTGACAAATGGTTATCAGAAATAACAGCAGGTGGGACCAATAGCATAATGGCTGTGTTGCTGAACTCCCATGTAGTCGACCACGGTTCGATTCCCGGACCCGGTGGCTTAAACTCACGCCGAGCACATGTGCATGCATGGCCAAGATCCTGAGAGGAGAATGGAGGAGAAGGGATTGCGGCGTGGCCACCCCCCTGGGGGTGATTTTTCGCTTTGTCTCTCTGTCTTTCTGGCGAGTGCACATGCCCTATAGTAAACGCCCCCCCCCCGGGCGCCAGTCCCCAGAGAAACCCCCCCCCCCCCCAAAAAAAAAAAAAAAGAAATACCAGCATGTAATGCTGAAAGCATACTTGTTGCTACCAGGCATGGTTCAAATAGAATTCCTAATATGTATTAACTAATTTAATTCTAACAGCAACTCTGTTGGACAGGTAAAGTTCTCTCTTTTTTCAGATGAAGAACCTGAGGAGCAGAAAAGTTAGAGAACTTGCTAGAGTTTTCACAGCTAGTAAATGGCAGTGTTGGAATTTGAAAAGCAGCCTAACTGTACTATGGTATCTTTGTAAGACTTTCAGCCTCTTGTTCTGTTGTTAAAAAAGCAAGATACCAGAGTCCTTTCAAGGATTCAGAGTTGACTAAAAGGGAATTCTGTGTCCTTAAATAAGATATAATTGTTTTTAATTTTAAACTGTCTTTAATACAATAACAAATTCCCTATTAGTATCTATAATATGAGGAAAATTTGTGTTTTGATTGTTTAATGTTTTTCATGTTATAGGTCAGTAGAATTTTAAAGGTTGCTAAACCCAACTTTGTGGTTATGAAATTATTGGCAGGAGGACACAAAAAGGAATCTAAGGTGAGTACATTTTTGGGAAAAATAAGTGTTCTTAAATTATTATAAAATTATGTATTAAAAAAAGATGGGTAAATTTTTTATAAGAAAGTTAAACCAATGAACAAAAGTCATCCTAAGAGGTTCAGGAGCAAAAAATTTAACTAGAGCTTGCCATTTGGCCTTGAGACATGTATTTTATGACTTAAAATTTCTAAGTCTGCCCTCACTTTGTAAGTTACTGAATAACTTTGGATATAAAAGAAAATGTGTATAAACAAACTTATGGGGTAAATATGAAGTATTTAAACATTATCTGCCTTTGGGAAAGTGACAGTAATTTAAGACTTCTTTCAGTGGCTCAGAACATGGGTGTCTGTCAGCTTTCCTTGATGAGGTTCTTGATCATCAGTGTTATTAGATCGCATTTCAACTCAGAAGTTGGGCAGGTGCAAGAGGCCAGATGTTGAGGCACAGTGGTGGCATTTGCCATTTCTGTAATTCTCTTTGTTTACTTCCATTATCTGTCTTCCTTCTCTCCTGCCCTACTTTGTTAACGACTCTCATTTCATTGTTTAATTATTATCGTTGACTCTGGAACTGAAAATCTGCTAACCCCTGATCTAACTGAACTCCTTTTTTGCAATTTAAGTTTTTTTTTGTTTTGTTTTGTTAACTGTTCTCTGGAGATAGAAACACCTGGTCAGCATGTTTCTGATGACCTTAATTAGCCAAGAAAAAAGTTAAATCATTCTTTTCCTCCAAGTCAGTTCCTCGCTTAACTTTGTCATTGAACTAATTTTTTAAATCTCTTTTGTGCTGCCTGATAACTAAAACAAAAATTCTAAAATTAAAAGTGTGTATTTACTGTCTATTTGTAGATACATTTATTGACTTCATGATTTTCTTTATAGATTCCTCCCGAGTTTGATTTCTCTGCTCACAAATATTTTCCTGTTGTAAAACTTGTTTGAAAGAAACTGAAAAGGTGATCCATAAAGTGGTAGAATCTACTTTCAGATTCCACTCTTAAAGGATACTTCCATCAGTCTTACCACATAACGTGAAGTGAAATGGATTTCTTGGATAACAGCCCATTATAAGGTTTACTTTTAGTTTGACAGCCTTATATGATATGAATGAAAACTGCTGTTTTAAAGTGGTTTCTTATGTTCCATGGATGAAACTGGTCTTATTGAATGCATTGATGAACGTTATATGGTTTTATTACAGATTTAATCATAAATCATTTTTTATGGATGATTGAGTGAAAATAGTGTTTGTAAAGGTTAATAAATTTGACAAAAAAATGCACTACTGGAGATGAAAAATAGCACTTTGTTGATACATGTGAACAACAGAAGGTGTTTGCTCTTTAACATTTGAGTGGTTCAAAAACACATTATTCAAAAGAATTTTCACATCAAGAGACTTAAACACATAGGTGATGTTGGTGGAATCCACTTAAAAGGGATTTTGAGGGGAGAACCTCTAAAATATAATGGGAGATTAAATTACATCAGGACTGATTTTTATGTTACGATACCATAAATTGTATATCAATAAGAATATAGATGTTGGGCCAGAGGTGGAATGGTGGTTAAGGTGACTGGATCCCGTATGGTTGGCTGTGCAGTTCAAGTCCTGGACCTGGTGGCGGCTTGAGAAATATGCCAGGCACATGTATGTGCATCCCAATTCCCAAGAGAAAAATGGAGGAAGACAAAATGCTGTGGTCATCCCCTTGGGAAGAACATACCCTCCTACCCCGCAAGTACACACCCCTTCAGCAAACTTAAAAAAAAGAGAATACAGATATGCTAAAAACACATCCCAACTTAACCGTTACTTTAGACACCTTTAAAAGATCACACAATTATATTTGCTGGTGACATTATTCAGAAGGTAGAAATGTTAAATTTTGCTTCTAGATGTAAATGTGGTATGTTCCTTTTCATTTACTTCATAATCAGTTTAGCCTATGAAACATTGCCAAATGGGGATGTAGCTCTGACTCTGCAAGTGCCAAAGGCCCCAGCCTGCCTTTGCTGCTCTTTCTCTTTCCTGTCTGCCCTGGTGTTTGCCCTGGCAGCTGGCCAATTCTCTTGGTAGCTTTCCTTTTCTCCTCTGCAGGAGGCAGTGCTAAAGCAGAATGAGCTGTAGGGTGACTTCATTGGCTTCTGTAGCTTGTCCCAAGACTATGTAGCCTTTGGTCTTGGTGTTATGGGGGGCCCAAGTTTCAACTCTGATCTGACACCTTTCTTGAAAACAGGTATTATAAGTTCTTTCTGTAAATAAGTTTAAGCAGCTGACCTGACTGAAACTTCCTGCCATTTCAGAGATCTTAAGGAGAGAAAGTTCCTGACTCCTCTCTTCTCAGTTAATGAAATAGCAGTGTGGCTCTCTCCCAGGAGTGGTGACACGTACGTCATCCTGGATCAACTATTAGGTATCCTGAAATGTCAGAACCTAGAAGTCTTTATTTAAAAAGTTGCCTTTACCGTAGAAACCGTAAAGAGATAGATTATATGTTAGGTCTTTGTTTAGAAAGAAAACAGTACTAGTACTGTTTCTGGCTTTTTTTTTTTTTTTTTTTTGGAGAGATTTTCGCTATAGGACGCGTGCGCTCGCCAGACAGACAGAGACAGAGAGACAGAAAGCGAGAAATCACCCCCAGGGGGGATGGTCACGCCGCAATCCCTTCTCCTCCATTCTCCTCTCGAGATCTTGGGCATGCACGCACACGCTCCCGGCATGAGTTTTAAGCCACCAGGTCTGGGACGCAAACCATGGTCTACTACATGGGAGTCCAGCGACATAGCCATTACACTAACTGCTGGTTCCCTCTGGCTTGTTTTTTAAACACCTAAACAGACCCCCAAAAAGGCAGAGAAATGGTAAGAAATAGGCAAAAGAAGAAACAAAAAGCAACAGAGAAAAGCAGAGCATCGACATTTGGCAAAACACCACGAAAACCTGAGGCAAGTTAGCTGAGAAAGTATTCTTCCCTGTGGCCAAGATACGAAGTACGAAAAATACATCTTCTCAAAGATAGTGGTGGTGGCATTTTCAATAAAGAGGGTGCTCTGGCCTTTTCTAACCACTATGTCTGACTGGTCAGCCAGTGCAGGTGAAAGTTTTCTGAGCAGTGGTTGGCTAATTCAAGAACATGTAGGTTATTTTTTGGTATGGGTTTTCTAAAAGCAGAGTGTTCCTACTGTTAGCTTATTATTACCTAAAAAAAAAAAAAAAAAAAAAAACAGATGATTTATTAATGTATTTTCCTTTAAGTAGCTGCTGCTGCCTTTTTTTTTTTTTTTCCCTAAAGAGATTTCTAATCAGAAAAAGCTTATGAGGAACTCTTCCACAAAGGTTCTGGCGTATCTCTTTAGAAAAAAGAGTTTTACCTAATTCCCATTTTTACTTTTTTTTTTTTTTGGAGAGGTTTTTGCTACAGGGCGCGTGCGCTCACCAGAAAGACAAAGAGAGACAGAAAGCGAGAAATCACACACCAGGGAAGATGGCCACACCGCAATCCCTTCTCCTCCATTCTCTTCTCGGGATCTTGGGCACGCATGCACATGTGCCCGGTGTGAGTTTATCACACCAGGTCAGGGACTCAGACCGCGGTCGACTGCATGGGAGTCCAGCAACATAGCCATTGCATCATCTGCTGGTCCTATTACTGATCATTTTTAAAAGGTGTCTTTGATAAATTCATTTTAAAAGATTCTAAGAGGTAAAACTTAAGTTATAAAGATATAAAACAGTATAAGATGTGCCATTCAGTGCAGGGTTTTTATTCTAATTTTAAAGGTAAAATTGTACTTAGTAAGATTTTTTTTTTTTTTAAAAAGTGTCTGAAATGGTTAAAGGTCTGGTATATTTTAAAAAGTTAACTATCTGAAGTTTATATATAAATATTTCAAGTCACTTAAATTTGCCGGAGATGTATTTTACAGATATGTCAGCAGGACAGAAGCTTTGTTTTTCTTAAAGTACATGGGGAGACTTTTACTTGAAGTAATCTTTTAATGTATACATTACCAGAATTTTGTCAATCAATCAGGTTTTTTTTTTGAGAGAGATATTTTTGTTATAGGGTGCATGTGCTCACCCAAAAGACACAGACAGAGAGAAAGTGAGAAATCACCCTCCAAGGTGATGGCCACATCGTAATCCCTTCTCCATTCTCCTCTGGAGATTTTAGGCACGCACTCAGCATGAATCAACCGCGGTTGGCTAAGTGGGAGTCCAGTGACGTCATCATTATGCCATCTGCTGGTTCTTGAATTTTGTCAACCAGTTTTTAAGGAGCAGTGGTTTAGTATACTCAGATGTTGCCCTCTGAACTGAGAGAGCGCACACAACATATATGTATCTAAGTATACAAGCTATTTCCCCAAGTTTCAGATACCGATGAACAAAATCTAAGTTAATAACCTCATGAAGAAAATATGGCCAACAGTTAATGGAATCTCATTAAATTTATGTATTTTTAAAAAATTCCTTTCAAAGACTAGTACTAGCAGTTATTCAGTGTCCTGTAAACTACTTATGACTAATCATCTTTTAGGCCAGATACAGAGCAGGTACCAAGTAGATACCAAGCCCCTGTACCTTAAACAACCCTGAATTGACAATTCTACCATTCCAGTTCAGCTATGGATGGATAATCAATTACGAAGTATAGCAAAACAGTTGTGTTAGTTGGCAGTTTCATTTTTATCACGCACCATACCGACTTTACTTTGAAAATTCCACTACACAAAAATACATTAAGTATATGCAGGAATTAGGTTACTTGTTACGGCTAATTCAGCTGCCTAAGGAAATCTCCAGTACTATTTTACAAGGAAAAAAAATAATCACATCACTCCTGTGCATACACCATTTGAGAGTACAGAGGAATGTGTAAATTAAATCTTTACGCTAACTGCAATTTATTTTTAAGAAGGCCTAGCTGCTACCAGCAGTTAGCGTAATGGCTATGTGGCTGGACTCCCATGTAGTCAACCACGGTTCGCGTCCCGGACCCGGTGGCTTAAAACTCACACCGGGCGTGTGTGCGTGCATGTCCAAGATCCCAAGAGGAGAATGGAAGAAAAGGGATTGCGGCATGGCCATCCCCCCTGGGGGGCGATTTCTCGCTTTGTCTTTCTGGTGAGGGCACGCGCCGTATAGCAAGAAAAAAAAAAAAAAGGCCCAACTGCTGATACAACTTTGGATCAAACCAAAAGACCAAGGCCAGGGGTCTGCTGTCTACTCCATGTTGTTATACAGATGTTTTGTGTTATGCTGTCCAACACAGGCCGTCGCCACTTCTGTATGGGATCTGTGGAGATCTCAGGTAGGAAGCCTGGAAAAAGCCCAGCACACCTGAGCCTGCCTTCAGGCTATGAGTACATCCCGAGGAGGAAGGCATCATGGTTACTTTTTTTTTCTGGAGAGGTTTTTGCTATAGGGTGCGTGCGCTCACCAGGAAGACAGAGACCCAGAGACAGAAAGTAAGAAATCACCCTCCCAGAGGGGATGGCCACACCACAATCCCTTCTCCATTCTCTTGGGATCTTGGGCACGCACGCACATGCGCCTGGCATGAGTTTAAGCCACTGGGTACTCGAACCATGGTCGACTGCATGGGAGTTCAGTGACATAGCCATTATGCCAATTGCTGGTCCCTCATGGTTAAGTTTTATGCCAACTCATCTTATTCCATAAAGGCATAAGGCCAACCACTTTTTTTTTTCTTTTTTTTTTTTTTTTTGAGGTTTTTGCTATAGGGCGTGTGCCTTCGCCAGAGACACACAGACAGAAAGCGAGAAATCACCCCTGGGGGGATGGCCACGCCACAATCCCTTCTCGATTCTCCTCTCGAAATCTTGGGCACGCACGCACAGGCACCCTGCGTGAATTTAAGCCACCGGGTCCAGGACTCAAACCGTGGTCAACTACATGGGATTCCAGTGACAGCTATTACTCTAACTGCTTCTTTAGGGATCTAAAAGATGAAAATAAGCTAAAATCAATGAAAACTGTGCAAATGGTTTTATTAAGTTAACAGCCAGTCAGTGGCATGGTGGTGAAGGCAGCTGGATCTCACATGGCCAATTGCAGTTTGAGTCTCAAACTCAGCAGAGCCACGCATGTGCATCCAAAATCCCAAGAGGATACTGAAGCATAGACATCACCTCTGGGGACTGTTGTATTCATTCTTTCTCATTCGCTCTGGCAAGCAAACATGCCCTAAATCAAAATTTTTTAAACGTTGAACAGCATTTTATTTCTCAGCAGTTCTGTGCAGTGATTAAACATGAGATGAATAGAGGCTTTATTGAGAAATTCAGAAAGAATTTCTATTAACCCTAAGACTGGGACACAAAGGGAGATTGGAAAAAGATAATCTTATAAAGCTATTTTTATACCCTCCTTCGTTGTCTTTTCTGCATGGAAAAGAAACCGCGTGACTGCTAAACAAGTATCATACTTAAAGAACATTCAACTTGGACACACTAACATGAATGCAGACAGGTCCTGCCTTCAGTGACTACAAGGGCACACTGAGCCAGGGCACCCCATGCATCCACACACCGCTCCTCCTCAGCTACACGTTCCCAACTTCTGGGTCACGTTTCCTCCTCTGAAAACAAGCAGGTTTCCACGTGATCTCTGAGGCCCCCATGCCTCAAAGCCTATGGGTCCTCCCACTTACGCATTAGAGAGCTTCACTAAGTCAGTCATTAGTATGACCCTGCCAGTCATTCTCAAGTGGCAAGAGCCTATTTACCATAAATATTAAGAACGAGTTCAAATCAACCCTAATGCCATTATTATCCTTGTGAATTAGAATCTCAAAGATGTTTAACTTAACATCAACCTTTGATTTATAAATCAGTTTTGAGTCATTCACCGCAAGCTAAATGTGTTAACTGACAAAAACTATTGCATTTCTAAATATTCCCAATTTGTAACACTGTATATACCCTTCAGTATCAACGAACTGTATTTTCGTATTTTCTTACTCTAGTAATACAGTACGCAACGAACTGTATTTTCTTATTTTCTTACTCTAGTAATACAGTACGGGCCACTTCTCCCTCACTGTGCTCTGCTACACTGTGCAGTCAGCTGTTTTGTCAAAAGCCTGGCTGGTTGCTTTCCTTAGTTTCCTTGGTAATGTATAGCTATTAGAGAAGATTTCACTTTGCCCACACAGATGAAGCAAAGTGAGCACAGACCACAAATGTTCAAGTTACATAGTCGCATTTTGTACATGTGTTCACATTGGAATGACAGGGTTACCATACAAGCAGTCTTGAAATTTCCACACAAAACAGCTTTGTGTTTACTTGTTTAAAACTGTTGCCAATGCTGTTTGTGTTAACAGTCAGTGTTGTGGGCCACTGCCGGTCAGACGAGGACGAGTGCCTGAGAGGGTAAGCCAGTCCGTCGCTCAGTGTGCCCTGAGAACAGCAGTAGGGCCTGTACCAGCACTCGACGCAGCGTGGAGAAGGGAGGGCCTCAGAGAGCGCCTGACCAAGGAGCTCTCCCGAGCCTCTTTCCCACCACGTGTACTCTGCCTACAGGCTGCTTCACATGAATTCTTCCAGAATAAAGCGCCGTGGTCATCATCCTTGAAGACCTTGGTGTTCTATTTTTGGTGTTGATCTTCTCATGAAATACTACCTATTAGCCAAAAAACTGACAGATTCTGACATTATAGACACTTCAAAAGTACTCCCAAAACCCTGTCTAAAAATCCCATTTTCCTATATAAAGCACACACTATGACACCAGTCACTTCCAGATGTACATTTTACTGAGTACATTTCAGTTTTGAGTGTTCTGTCCCTCTTGAATATTTTGCAGTGACCTCTGCGCAGTCCTGATGTGAAGTGTGTAATTCCAGTTCATTTCAGAGTGTGTGGTTCTGCTTTTCCTGATGACCAAGTAAATTTATGGTTTCTCTCTTCTGATCTTCAGCATCTAAAACTAAAAAGGAAAAAGACCACACGTAATATTCTAGTACTAGACATTTTGAGAAGCCAGCCGGACAGGTCCTAGTTCACATAAGGTTCTGGAAACCATGTCATGAAACTTACTCCCATGGCAACACTAACTGGGAACTGCATTCCTTGTCGGGGACAGGACGGCAACAGAGACCTTATGTATGGCCATCAATGTGTCAGAAGCAAAGCTGCAGCACCTACAAACTCTGGAATCGTCCAAGAGTGAAATGCCTTATAAACTAGGCGATATAACAGAAGATGTACTTCTTAAGCTTTGGATACAGTCACAGCCCTCTCGTGCCGTGTAAATGATGGCAGACCCTCCACAACGTCCAACAGCTCTAGCTGCCCCAGAGCGCTCCCATTGCAGGTCTAAATGCTGTGCATGACTTCCACTATCCAGCTGTCTTCTATCCTTTGACACACACATAAAACCTGAAATCAGTCTTAGAACTATTACATATTATATGGCAAATAATTACTATTAATTAAATGACCACCTTACCAATAGTGTCTCTTTAAAGTTCTCCAATAAAGCTGGAGCTAATACCTTTTTCTTTTAATTTCAGTAGGGCCTTAAACTATTGGGTTATCAGGAAAAGTCATGACACATTTTTGCCTAGAAAAACATGTCAGGACTTCCCTAACAACCCAGTATTTCATAATCTGTTTTGATGACGTTTCTTCAACTGAAAAATTTCTTCAAAGAGCTGACAGCATTTGCCTTGCCTACCTTCTCACTTTAAAACCTTGCATGATGTCAGGGCCAGAAGGTGGCACAGTGATTGAGGTGTTAAACTCACACGTGGTCAACCGCTATTTAAGTACCAGACCTGGTGGTTTATAACTCATGCCAGGCATGTGTGCATACATGCTCAAAATCCCAAGAGAAAAATGGAGAAGAGACTGCTTTGTCACTTTCTGTCTCTTCTCTTTGGTGAGCACAGAAGCCCTATAGCAAAAATCTCTTAAAAAAAAAAACACCATGCACGATGTCACAGGCATTGGGGGTGAATGACTTTTCTCTCAGACACTAGGCTCATTTCAGAGGTTGTTAAAACAGATAAAAGACAGTGACCAGACTATGTAAGATGCCCTTCAAGAACTGAAGCACACAAATAAGTGGATTCAATGACTATATACAAAGAATAGGACAATGGCAAGACCTCATATATGCTTAAAATTCTGACTAGTAATTTTTTGCTTTATTCAGAGATGACCTGAAAATAATTTTAAAACTGTTAGGATTTACATTTCTAACAACTCCAAATAACTCTGACACTTGAGACAACTGGTATCCTGAAAAATACTTTTTAGGAGCACACTCAAATCAGACAATCCCAAATTGAGACTTTTTAAGAGATTTTTGCTATAGGGTGTGTGTGCTTGACAGAAAACGAGAAATCAGCCCCCCAGGAGGGATGATCACACCATAGTCCCTTCTCCTCCATTTTCTAGGCATCTTGGGCATACACACACACATGCCTGGCCTGAGTTTCAAGCCGCCAGGTGCAGTACTTGAACACCGTCAACTGTATGGGAGTCCAGCAATGTAATCATTATGCCATCTGCTGTTCCCATAAATTGACTTTCTACCAAACAACTATGTCACTGTACTGACAGAAAAATGAATAGCAGGGACCCAGCCATGTTGGTGCGTGCTGCTAAGATGCCATGCTCTACAGTCTGGGACTACATGGGGAGTCCTTGGTTTGATTCCCCATCCCACCTGTAGGCCAGGAGTGGTGGCGTGCACTCTGATCCTAGCTACCTGAGAGGATGTAGCAGGAAGACTGTGAGCTTGAGCTGGCCTGAGCAACAGTGAGGTCCCAACTAAAAAGGAGCTGGGCGTAGTGGGGCATACCTGTCCCAGCTGGGAGGCTGAGGCAGGAGGACTGTGACAGTAAGACTGTGTCATAAAAAAGATAAACATCAGGTAATAATAAATATAGAAGCTGCTCCAGATTAAAGAACACTGAAGAGGTATGACAATAGGCAGTGTTTGGCTGTCCCTTGGCCTAGTGGTAGAGGGAGGTGGATCCCACTTGGCCAACCAAGCAGTGTGAATTTTTTTTAAAGATGTTTTTGACTTAGGGTATGTGCACTTACTGGGGCAAGAGAGAGGGATAGAGACAGAAGAAAAATGACAAATCATCCCCCAGGGAATGGCCACACCACAATCTCTTCATTCTCCCCGGATCTCGGGCATGTGCACACACAACCAGCATGATTTTCAAGGCACCAGGTCTGGGACTTGACCCACAGTAGGCCATGTGGGAGTCCAGCAACGTAACTGCTAGAACTGCAGTCCAACTTTTAATGCCCAAACTTTTAATGACTTCAGAGGATAACGGTCTCCTTCAAATGACGAATTACTTACACTGTGATTGAGATTCACTGGATAGTCACTTCAACAGTGAAAGACCAGAAAGGAGAAATGAAAGGTGACCCTCGACACACCCATTATTACCATTTAAGTTCCTGTCATTCCCAGCGAGGGCTGCTTGCTTGTCTGTTTCAGATTCTGCCTCATTTTCATCCATGCTGTAGTCGTCATCTCCCAGTTTTTGCTGGTTTCTCCCTGTAAAATTAAATTAGCACATAAAACATAAGCTCTAGCATTTCTCTTCTGCTGCTATAGGAACACCAGAACCCCAGGGAGTAAGAGACTTGGACATACCAAATTTATTACGATAGACAACAGTGTCCAGGGACATCCACTTGGCTGATAAGCTCATAAACGAATGCAAGAAAATGCACACTACCACCAAGATCAGGTAGTGGTTTCTATTACAGGGAAGTCTTCCCAACTGTCTATTAACAGGTCTTTTGGCTAACTCTTGGGACAGGGAAGGGATCTGTGTCCTTCTGGTACAGTTGCCACAGGATGTCTCTACTTATGCTCCACTCCAACTTGGAACCAGAACGGTGGACCTAGTCCTACAGTAAAGGCCATGTGTATATTCCAGGCTGGAAATGGGGAAACTGCTCACTAAAACCAAAGCACAGCTTTTCAGAGAGACAATCAGCTCAGGTTTGCTACACACAGGTTCTACTATTTTAGGACAAAGCTTCCAGCTAACGCCAGCACCTCAGAGAATGGCTGACTGCTGGACAAAGAAGTCACTACTGTGAGCCAAAGGATAAAACTTTCAAGTTCCCAGACCCAGCTCATTCATCATTACAGTCATCCCTGCACAGAACAGCAACCAGAAAAGGTCAGGACCAATTCAGAGAGTTTAATGTGGGGCCAGAAGATAGCAAGGTGGTTGAAGTGCTGGACTCCCACGCAGCAGACCACAGTTCGAATCCTGGACCTGGCAGCTTACTTTCTCACTTTCTCTCTGTTGCTCACTCACTCACTCTGGTGAGTTCTATAGCAAATTTTAAAATAATAAAACAAAAAAGGTTCAGAAAAAGTTTAACATAAACATCTTATGTATGTATATAGGTAGGTAAATAAATTTTTGAAAAGCATGCCTAGGGGCTAGCAAGTGTGGTAGTTAAGGTGCTGGACTCCCACATGGCCAACTTTGGTTCAAGTCCCAGACCTGGAACCTTGCTTTCTCACTTTCTCTTCCTCCCTCCCTCCCTCCCTCTCTCTCTCTGGTCAAATGAAACAATGATGATGATAATAAATAAATCTTTAAAAAATAAAAAGCAATCCTATAAAGAAATCAACTGGAGTTCTCTTTCTCTGCATTCCTTGTCTGCGGTGGATCTCTGCACTCCTTGTCTGCGGTGGAAACAGGCATGGCCTATTGTTAGTTTATTCACATGAGATCGTGACAGCTGCATCTAAAGCCAGGTGCATCACACAAGTCCCTCAGGTACACCTTGAGCTTCGTGTCCAGCTGCGGAGTGGGGTGACATTCCAGGGCTACTGGCCCACCACTGCCCTCCACCAGCATCTCCACACTGGACAGCAGTGAGAGCAGAGACCCCGGCTATGAGGCAGGGTGGAGGCGAGCACAGTGTGATTCTCTTAACTGGAGTTCAGGAGGATTCTTTCTTCAGAAAGAGAAACTAAAGTGAAAATTGGAGTTAAATGGAATCAGGAACTTCTGCAAATAAGCTCATTCCACAACTCCTGTTATTTGGTCCAACAAGGAGCATCAGGGTCCAGGTCTGTATAGGTGCTCCTGGCTCAGTGGGATGGACACTTCCCACTTTTAAAGGACAAAAAAGAGCTCTTCTAAAAGTTCATGGAAAAGGCATATTATGGAAAACCTGTGTAGGAATTTCGAATATTTTTGTACTAGAACAGACTTGTATTTTAATTCCATATTTCCATAATTCTTTAAGAGATATTTTTGTTATATAGGATGTGCATTCACTGGAGACACATAGACAGAGAAAGTGAAAAGTCACCCCCCTTGGAGGAAGGCCACACTTCAATCCCTTTCCCTTCATTCTCCTCTCTGGATTTTGGGCATGCATGCATATGCACCCAGTGTGAATTTCAAGCTGCCAGGTCCAGGACTCAAATCATGGTTGACCATGTGGCAGTCCAGTGCCTTAACCACTATGCACCTGCTGGCCCCAGCACTAATTTTTTTTGAAGCCCTCTCATACTTGCTAGAATACTCTGTCAATCTTAGAGTCCCACACTTTCTTTTATTTCTTTAAAAAGAAAAAAGCCAACTAAATGAGAAAGGTGTGACATACATAGTGTTTTCTTTCAGTGTTTAAATATACATTAACTTCCATCTACCCAGTCATTCCGTCCTCAGTCACTCTTTCATTAACCAGGTAGACTAAATATTATGCCAGATACCATGTGAGGAAGCTTGCTGCCTGCCTGCCCACCCAGAGGCGGTGCTTACTTGGTACTAAGCACCCTTCTGAAGGGTGGCATCTGCAAAGTACTGTAACTGCCCTTCCTTCCTGCCTCCCAGTGAACAACAGGTACCAAACATGCAAATACAAAGGAACCACCAATTTTGCAGTGCTGTCTGGTAAACCTCATGGGAACCTGGGAAGTCAGAGGTGGGCCGGGTGCAGCCCTACCTTCTCCGGCAGTGTCCTGCTGCTCCTCTTGCCCGTCGCGGATGACAAGCTGGTCCCGCTCTAGATCTTCAGTCTCCTGATTTTCCTGGCTCACCAGTAGGACAGCAGGCACCTGTGGGGTTTGGCCAAGTTCTGTGGCTCCCCCAAAGCCTCTTCTGCCCACAGGTCTGTCTTCTGCAGCCTGACCTGGGCCAGGCTCCTGCAGCAACCCCAGGCGGTCCCTCTGAGGCTGCTCCTGGCTGACACCCTGGATCTCGTTGGTTTCCTCTGTACACAGAACACAGTCAGCTGTGGCCTCACCACCATATAACTCAATGGAAAAAAGTCCCAAACCCTCATGCCACTTGATTCCCAAAGCCTACCAGGAGTGTGGTGGGGAGAATGATACAAGGGATGGGTAAAGAACTCACTCCATGGCCTCAGCAGCACACTTATGGGCCTCACTATGCCTGCAGCTCATCTTCAGAACCGCGAGGAGAATAATTTAGAGAAAAAACTGAACTGTTACTCGACAGCCTACAGGTGGAGGCGAGCACAATGCTGAGCTGTGTGTCTGAGACAAGCACTTGAGAGCCATGGCATGCCAAGAGTCGCTTGGAGAAAGTAGCCCTGTTTGTTCTCAGTGGCAGCTCTGTAGGGTTTAGCTACCTCCCCCAAATCCCACAATCCCACCAATGTCCTCAATAAAGGGACAACCTGGACCTTTCTTTCACACAGCTGCCAAAGAACACGGCACCTTCTTTACAAGGACAAGACAGACACAGAAGCAGCCCTGTGGCCTCATCTCAGGTGCCAAGGGGCACACACACACACACCAGTGCCTGCCTCCCATCACCAAGCCCAGAAATTGCCTCAAGGAGAGCACAATGCCCTCAGGACTCTACACGGACTGCAGTGCATGGGAGGCTCTCGTCTTTTAAAATTTTTTAAAATTATTTATTTTTAATGTGATCACAGAGACAGTGTGAGGGAAAGTGAGAAGGCAAGCCGCCATCCGGGACTCAAACTGTGGTTGACCATGTGGGAGTCCAGCACCTTAACCACAATGCCACCTGCCAGTCCCTAGAAAAATATGTTTTTTTTCCTTCTAAAGAATTATCTTATTTAACTTTATTTATTTAACTTTTACCTCTTTTTTCTCAAAATTTCCTTTCCTACACTCTTCCCCTCTGTACCCAGTGTCCATAACAATTTTTAGTGCTTTTATGTTCTCCGGTCTTTCAGTCTCTACAATGGAGTGCAGACAGTCAGTATTATGTTAAGTGGAGACATACAATGTGTCTCTTTCATAGCCTGACTTGCTTCGCTCAGCAACAAATCTTCCATATTCATCCACTTTCTATCAAATTCCAGGGCCTTGCTGTTTTTTATGGCTGAGTAGTATTCCATGGAGCACATGTGCCATACTTCTCGATCCATTCATCTGTTTGTGGACATTTGGGTTAGTTCCATGTCTTAGCAATCAGGAATAATGCTGCAATGAATACAGATGTGCAAGCACTTTTCTGACTGAGCATTTTCCTGTCCTTTGGGTAGATGCCCAGGAGTGGAACTGCTGGATCATATGGTAGTTCTATTTGAAGGTCTCTGAGGAACCTCCATATTGTTCTCCATGATGGCTGGCCTAATTTACATTCCCACCAATAGTGTAGGAGCGTTTCCCTTTCACCACATCCCCTCTAGCACTTATCAGTTTTTGTTTTTTTTTAATCTTCACCATTCTGACTGGGGTTAGATGGTATCTCATTGTGGTTTTGATCTGCATCTCCCTTATGATGAGGGATGTTGAGCATTTATTTATATGCTTTTCGGCTGTTCATATGTCTTCCTTAGAGAGAAAGCCTCCTATCTTAGAAATCTGATAAGGCAGAGCTGGAAGATGGGATGGTGGTTAAGGGCACTGGACTCCCACATGGCCAACCACAATTTGAGTCCCAGACCTAGCGGCTTGCTTTCTCTCTCTCTCTCTCACTCTGTCCCTCTATGATCAAATTAAAATAAATAAATAAATAAGTGGATAAAGTTAAATAAAATAATTCTTTAAAAAAAAAAAAAAATCTCTGACAAGTCTCAGGAAAAGGCATACGAGAGAACTGTTATCCACTGAGTACTGGTTCCAGGACCCGCGCTGCAGATGCTTCAGTGCCTCACATAAGATAGGGTGTACTGTGCATAACCTACGCACACCCTCCCAGGTACTTCAGATCGTGTCTGGATTGCTTATAATGCCAAAGGTAAATGCTGTATAAACACCTGTTACTGTTCTGTTCAGGGAGTACTGACGAGAAAGTCTGCACACATTCGGTACAGATGCAACCAATGTTTAAAAACAGATGACAATTGGGATCAGCAGATGGCATGATGGTTACATCGCCGGACTCCCATGTAGTCAGCCATGGTTCACGTCTTTTAAAACTCACATGCCAGTGTGTGTGTGTGCCCAAGATCCCAAGAGGAGAATTAAAAGAGAAGGGCTTGTGGTGCGGCCAAACCCCCTGGAGGGGGAGAGGGGTTTCTTCTGTCTCCCTTTCTCTATCTCTCCAGTGAGCACACGTGCTCTATAGCAAAAACATCTCTTTTTAAAAAAATGGATGACAATGGACCAGCAGATGGTGTGCAGCTAGATCCTACATAGCTGACTGTACAGTTCTAGTCCCTATGATCTTTTTTTTTTTTTTTTTTTTTTTTTAAAAAAAAAAAAAAGGGATGATGAACCAGGTACATGGAGAGCTGCCTGCAATTGCCAGGCTTCACTTACCTTTCTCACCGGGTCTCTTCGAGTCCAAAGCCACCTCACGAGTAGGGGCTAGTGTCTGGGATTCACCATTGCTGGGCACATGTTCTTTCCCTTGTGGCACCTGATCCTGTGGCAAGTCTGTTTCTTGGGGCCTGAGCTGAGGCTCACTGGGAGCTCGGAGCTGAAATAGGAGCAGAGGATGGCCATGGCGGGCTCTGTGACCACCTTACAAGAACCCCACGCAGTGCAATGGGTCACCATATCCCGACAGACCACACAGGGTTTTCAAAATGTTCATGAAAAGTACATATTATAGAAAAAGCATGGATGGGTTTCTAAAGTTTCTGTACCAAAATAAGCTGCTAATTTAATTTCATTTTTCATGAAACTTTTGAAGTCCCTGTGTCTCCAACAAACAGATGTAAAAATTCTCAACAAAATATTAGGAAATTGAATCTACAATGTATAAAAAGATTCATACGCCATGACTCAGTGGGATGCTAGGTATACAAAGTTTCTTCAGCATTTGAAAGTCAAGTTGTATAATCCATAGGCTAAAAAGTAAAATCACATGATCATATGTATAGAGCAGGAAAAGCATTTGACGAAATCTAAAACTCAATCACGATCAATACCAGTATGCCAAAGGTCTTAACTAAGATGAAGTAGACGAATTCCTAGAAAAACACAAACTACCTGGGGTCAGCAAATGGTATAATGGTTATATCAAGTCAAGTCAAGTCACTTGACTCTCACAGTCAACCACGGTTTGAGTCTCAGCCCCAGTGGCTTTAAACGCATACAGGTGTGTGTGCATGCTTGCCCAAAATCCCAAGAGGAGAATGGAGAAGGGATTGTAGTATGACTCTCTCCCCAGGGGGTGATTTCTCCCTCCCTCCCTCCCTCCCTCCTTCCCTCCCTCTCCCTCTCTCTCTCTCTCTTTCTCTCTCTCTGTGTGTGTGTCTAAGAAAAAAAAAGCGGGGGGAGGGGGACACAAACTACCAAAAACAACTCAAAAAGGAATTTAAAATCTCAGATTTCTATAGGTCTACTTGGTAGATGATTAAGATTCAGTTGGTAATTTAAAAACTTCCCACAACAGGGCCGGCAGGTGGCAAGGTGGTTAAGGGCACTGGACTCCTACATGCCCAACTGAGGTTCGAGTCCCAGATCTTGAGGCTTACTTTCTCATCCACCCACCCCACTTTTTCTTGTCAAATTAAGGTAATAATAAAAATAATTATTTAAAAACCAAAACAACTTCCCACAATGTAAAGTTAAGATTCATATGGCTTCACTAGTAAATTCTATCAAACCCTTGACACCAAAACCAGACATATCACAAGAAAATAAAACTATAGACCAGAATCTCTTATGAATAGGCACCAAAATCCTCAACAAAATACCAGCAAACGAAATCCAGTAAAATATAAAGGATGTTATACCAGTAGTATTTATCCTAGAAATCATGTAGTATGTTATATCTAGTTATAGACAAAAAATACATGATCATCTTAATAAATGCAGAGAAAAAATCTGACAAAATCCAGCCTCTCTACTTGACAAAAACACTAAACATGAAAACAAACAAAAAAATATCCTCACCTTGATATATCTATGAAAAACACAGCCAGCATCAAATTATGGTGAAAGATAATCCTTTACAAACCCTGTGACTGAGAACAAAACAAAGGTATCTGCTCTCAGGACCAGCAGATGGCGTAATGGCTATGTCGCTGGACTCCCATGTAGTTGATCATTGGTTCGAGTCCCTGACCCCATGGCTTAAACTCATGCCAGGCACATGTGCATGCATGCCCAAGATCCCCAGAGGAGAATGGAAGACAAGGGATTGCAGTGTAGCCATCCCCCCTGGGGGGTGATTTCTTACTTTCTGTCTCTCTGTCTTTCTGGAGAGCGCATGAGCCCTTATAGCAAAAACCTCTCCCCCAAAAAAAAAGGTATCTGCTCTCATCACTTCAGCCCATGTGCCCGATGTGTACAGGGAAGCCTTGGGACGCAAAGCCAGGACCTTCCCATGTGGCCTCGGCATCATCATGTTGGGTTGCGTTACCACTGCATCACCACAGCTGGCCTACTGCACCTTTCTGTGTTTAGGTCACAAGACCCTCATTCCAGAGGGGTCCTGTGCCATATCTGGGAGGAGGGGATGCTGCACGGGGGCCAAGACCAGACAGCCAGGCCTTGCTGGGCTTCCTTGCCCAGCCTATCTCTATCAGCTCATATAGCTGTCCAATCACGCTGCACAGCTGTGCTTCGCTGAACCTAAGCACAGCATCAAGACAGCTTCTTCTGTGCCTTTGGGGCTTTAATCTGAAGGCTCCCGTTTCATGTAGAACTATGACGAAATACATATGTATGCCTATTCTGATACACAGATCTGGTATACTAATCTGCCTATTGTCAGTGACTTTCTTTTATTTTTTCTTTTTTCGGAGAGGTTTTTGCTATAGGGCACGTATGCTCGCCAGAAAGAGAAAAAAATTATCAGTGACTTTCAAAAATGCAGGAGGTGGAGGTAAACGATATTTAAAAACAATCAAAGGTCTCCCAAAGGTTTCAGGCAGCAGTTTCTGGAGCTGTGCTCTGCACAGGTGGTGGGCTAACAGGACCAGACATGGAGTCTGACAGGTTTGAGCTCTTGGCCAGCTTTGCCTCTCACCAGGTGGTTCGGTTCTGGCCACAAACCCAACCGTCTCCTAGGACCTCAGAGTTCCTCAATGCAGGTGAACAACAGAAACTCTTCCAGGGTGGCTGTGAGCTTCAAAGGAAATCATTCCCAGTGAGCCCTGAGCTGGGCAACTGGGGCTAGGGACCAGTACTCTTGGTCAGAGTCCAGTTGTCCCAGGACCTGGTTTATGGTGTTGCATTTCAGGGAACCGAAACACAAGTGTGAACAGAAATCTAACTAAAACCAACAGCAGATAAAATGCAAAGAGAGTGCAGTGGACTCATTCTAGAAATCCTTTGCAGAAAACCCCCAAACTGACCTGTGGACTCAGGTCTCTTTTTGCACCTGGGTCTCGGGAGGCTGCAGCTTCACTGCCCTTCTTGGTGACCTCCTCGATGCGCTCTTCACACTGCTCCTTCACCTCCTTCATCTGACTGATGCACTGGCTCCTGGGGTGAGAGAGCACAAGATGAGACAGGCCTCTAAGGGTGTGTCTTTGTGCCAAGCTTCGCCCTCCCTGCTGGACTGAGAAATCCACCTCAGTAAGAGACGTGGGCCATCTCTCCTGGGCTCCAGGCACTTTCTCTGAAGAGGGCACCTAAGACAGGGCACCGTGTAATTTTCAACTATTAAGTGCCAAAAAAACTAGTTAACACAACTCACTAAAAATTGGTTACGTTGTTCTAAACTAGGTGAACTTTGCTGGCTAAGGGAAAAAAATCTACAGAATAATAAAAGATGTATTTAGTCTTTCTCCCTAGAAACAGGTGCACAGCTCCCAGGTCCCTTGGGATTTCCAGTGGTCTGTGTCATTCGTTATCCATAAAGTGCCCCCTGGGCCTGACAGAGCAGGGTGTGTGGCAGTTTCACGATGAGGGCTGAATGTCAAAGGAGCCAATCATGTGACTGGAGTTTCAGCTCCACCTTCTCCACTGAGGGGAGAGACTGGAGACTGGGTTCGGTCACAAGGCCAACAACTGAATCCATTGTGTCTACAGAACGAAACCCAGAAAACTCTGAACCAAGGCTCAGTGAGCTTCCAGTGAACACAGATGCACTGGGTGGGCGGCACCTTGACCCACAGGGAAAGAAGCTCCGGTCCCCCTGTCCCCGGTACCTTAGGGATCTCTGCCCTTTGGCTGGTCCTGAGTTGTATCTTTATTAATACCATAAAAGTACAGCTTTTCTGAGTTCTGTGGGTCTTTCTGGTGAATTATCAACCAGAGAGGACTAGCAAGTAGCCCTGGATCTGTATCTCTGGGCTGAAGTGCCGGTGGGTCGGGGACAATAGGCCTTGTAGCTGGCACCTAGGGGTGGGGGTAGGGGGGTATCTGCAGAAACGAGCCCTTTAACCCATGGGATCTGCACTAACTCTGGGTTGTGTATCAGTACAACTGGAATGGAGGACACCTAGCTGTTTTCAGATTGCTGCTGGAGTGTACTTTGAAGCACTGCTTCAGCTTTCTGCCTGGCATTTATTTTCAGATTATTTCAACAAGTGCCAGAGCTATAAAGTAATTAAGAGACTCACTCACTTGTTTTTTTTTTTTTTTTTTTTGGAGAGATTTTCACTGTAGGGCGCGTGCGCTCGCCAGACAGACAGAGACATAGAGACAGAAAGCGAGAAATCACCCCCCAGGGGGGATGGTCACGCCACAATCCCTTCTCCTCCATCCTCCTCTCGGGATCTTGGGCACGCACGCACACGCGCCCGGCGTGAGTTTTAAGCCACCGGGTCCGGGACACGAACTGCGGGCGACTACGTGGGAGTCCAGCGACATAGCCATTACGCTAACTGCTGGTTCCCTCACTCACTTGTTTTATAAATAAGGAAGCAGAGAGGTGTCCTGACTGCCTGCCATGGGTCAGGGTCACAGAGAAGGAAGCCAGGACAGCTAAACAGGCGGAAGCTGGAAAGCAGAGCCACAGCCTCCTACCCGGGCACTCCTCTCCACCCCACGGTCTCCCACCCGGGTAATTCAGTCCTCTCCACCCCACGGTCTCCCACCCGGGTAATTCAGTCCTCTCCACTCCACGGTCTCTCACCTGGGCACTCCTCTCCACCCCACGGTCTCCCACCCAGGTAGTTCAGTCCTCTCCATCCCACGGTCTCCCACCTGGGTAGTTTAGTCTCTACACCCCACGGTCTCCTGACCCAGGTAATTCAGTTCTGTCCACCCCATTCTCTCCACCCCACCGTCTGCCCTCTGAGTCATGGCATTTCAGAGCTAAGCGTGAGTGCTACATGAACTCTCGAACTCTTGGGCTGTTCCTGCAGTTCAAAGCGCTACTGGGTCACAACACACTACACAAAGAAGGGAACGAAGTGTTACAGAAATGATCAAACAGACAGTTCCTGACCTTAGGCAGCTAGAGGTCAAGTGAAAAACTAACTTAAATAGAATTCTCATAAACATACCAGTCATGCAGATGGACTAGTGGATTAGAAGCTTAACATAGCAAACAGAAAGAGAGGAATCTGTGAACTGAATGGCTAAATGTCAGCTGTCCCTGGACCTTTACAGGGAAATACTGGTTTTATATGCTCCCAGCCCCACCAAAATCAAGTACAAAGAGGCTTTATCTCTCAGCCTTGCAGCTAAGTGCAGCTTTTCACACTCAACTCAGCAGTAATAAGCCAGACAACCTCAGAACAAAGTTCGAGCGCTGAAATGAAATCATGGAGGAGAGGCAAGAGGCAGGCAATCAGAAGATTCCTCATAGCTCCTGAGAACTAGTGATTCCAGGTTAAAAGAGAAATGAAGATTTCCTACTGATAATTCAGCTTCCCGCTGAACTATAGCCAAACATCCAAATACTATTAGGGTTAACATATTCTTCTACTGAACCTGCTGCACAAAACAATCACAATGGAATGGCAAAGAGATTCCAGATCACCTCTCTCTGCTCACTCCTAAACGTTCAGATGGAACTTCAAGAATAAGGAAGAAACATACCATCCTTAGAAGACTAGAAATCACCGCAGGGCCACAAGAAATATGGGAAAGCAAGAAAATACCTCTCCCCCAAGGGAAAAGAATTATTCCTCTTCATCCACAGACAGTTCAATGGAAATCATAGAAATGTCTAATAAAGAATTTAGAACATTCATAATGGTGAAGCTAACAGAGATGGAAAAGAAGAGAGACAATGAACTGCTGAAGAGAAAGAAAAAAGGAGCTGACGAGTTCCAGGAGGTGAGGAAATTCTTGCAAGAACTAAAGGAGGAATTACACACTTTACAAAAGAATCAAATGGACCTGTTAGAGATGAAGGCTATAATACAGGAAGTCAAAATAAAATCTCCCTTGAAAGTATTAAAAGCAGACTAGATCATACAGAAAATAGAATCTCAGACACAGAAGAGAAAATTGCTGGCCTAGAAAAATCCACCACGAAGACTGAGAAAATGGTCCAAAAAAATGAGAATAATATTTGAGAAATACTAGATACCATCAAACGTCCAAACATCCAGATAACTGGCATCCCAGAAGGTGAAGAGTCTCAAAAGGGCATTGATAATCTATTCCAGGAGATCCTGGAAGAAAACTTTCCAAACCTAGAGAGGCACTCAAAGATCCAGTCCTAAGAAATACAAAGGATCCCAAAAAGAATCAACCCAAGAAGATCTTCTCCAAGACATATTATAGCCATATTGACCAAAACCACAGACAAAGACAAGATACTAAAATTGGCAAGAGAAAAACATCAAGTTACCTATAAAGGACATCCCATCAGGCTAACAGCAGATCTCTCATTGGAAACAATGCAAGCGAGGAAAGAATGGGAAAATATATTCAAAGTGTTAAGGGAAAAGCAATTTCAACCGAGAATACTGTACCCGGCAAGATTATCCTTCATGTGGGAAGAAAAGACAAGAACCTCAGATAAACAAAACCTGAAAGAATTTACCAGCACCAGACCAGATCTCCAAGAAGTTCTCAAGGGAGTGCTATACCAGGAAAATTAAATACAGTCACATGTCCTGTCTTGAGATGTCGATAGGTTCATGTAGCTACCATTTGAACAGAATCCTAACCTGTTTCCTGGCTTTAAGTTTTAAGCAAAGTTCCTTAGCATTTCTTTGATTTAAGTTAAAACTGCTCTTCTTGAAATTACCAAGTGAACTTGCTATTGAAAGTAGTTAGATTATTTAACAAATTGTATGATCAATAAAGTGTGGGGGGGGAAGGAATGAAAGACAACTGTAGACACCAGAGATAGTGTGAGAAGAGGGTGGGAAAGGACAGAGGGTCAGAAATATACACATATGAAACTAGAAATGGAAAAATTTTGGCAATAGCATGCGTGATTAAGCCACTATGCAGTATATTCTGGATGAGAAATCACATTTTGTATGCTGTGACGATGCTTAGGAAATGAATGTAAATTAAGTTAAAAAAAATGTTTCAGAAGTAAATTATAGGACACTGGTGACGAGATTCTAGCTTTGTCCATATTTTAAGTTTAACATATTTTGTGAATCAATAAAATATGGAAAAAAGTTTAGTATGGAAGAGAGAGAAGGGGAAGGATAAAAGTAAAAGTATGCTTAATTGACAAAATTAAGAAGCTATTTGCTGATAAGTTATATAGAGTAATACCTTTGGCTTGACTGACATGCATAGAATTGGTGCTGGAAAAAGAAATGTTGCACACTGTAAAGATGTGATTAAGGGAACCAGCAGTTAGCGTAATGGCTATGTCGCTGGACTCCCATGTAGTCGACAGCAGTTCGCGTCCCGAATCTGGTGGCTTAAAACTCACGTCGGGCGCATGTGCGTGTGTGCCCAAGATCCCGAGAGGAGAATGGAGGAGAAGGGATTGTGGCGTGACCATTCCCCCTGGGGGGTGATTTCTCGCTTTCTGTCTCTATGTCTCTCTGTCTGTCTGGCAAGCGCACGCACCCTATAGTGAAAAACCTCTCAAAAA